ATAGTAGCTTAACAAAAAAAATCGTTGATATTTGTATTGTGTCGTGGGTTCCTATATTTGTGCACAAATATAGGAACAAGAATCAAACCAATAGGAGACAAAACCAAGACAAAAAGGTAAACAATGACAAATTTAAGGTCAATAAGAACCAATCAACATCGAGGTGCACAGAACAAGCTGTGAAACGCATATGGAGAAATTCGAACACTTCACTTCTATCTGAAGTTTGTGCTGATGATGTCGTTCAGAAGAACGATGAAAGCTCCACGACCAAACCATCCAGCTCAGAGAACAAAACTCCATCATATATATATATATATATATATATATATATATATAAACACGTTTGATTTGTACTTGTCGTGATTGCTCATGCTTCTGTCCGCTTGGGGAATATATTTCCCCATTTCGAACTTGAACTTGTATCTCTGGTTAGCGGAGCTGTGACGCATCAGAATAGTTAGCCTGTTGATCTTTGGTCACAGTCTTAGACTAGGTGAACTCGTAATCGCTTCAAACATAGCAATAGGACACTATTCATTCTACAGATATAAATGTTATTACTGGTATAGAATGTTTAATAAATAGAACAGTAAGTAATAAGTCAAGGTATCTTGTTAAATATGAACTCTCCGAAAATGATTATTTGTATTTGCACTTTAAAAAAACTCTTTATTAATGATTATTCTGTAAACTAAGGTCAAAAGCAATGAAATAGAAGGTTCATATTGTTGAGTTAGCTACTTGATTAACTCAGAATACGGTTTACGACTACGACACTCGAATGTTGAACTTCACCGTCGCAAATCAGAAGACAGAAGAAAAGCTGGAGAAGTGTTTATTTAGTAAGAATCAACGTGTGCAGAAAATCACGAGTATTTATAGATATTATCATTTGTTAAATCAACATTATATTTAAGCCTATCCTCTAAGAGACATATTATGCAACTGACCAATAGTAGCATGCCACGTTGATATTCTAGAAAGCTCCATCATATTCTGATCGACTGGAACTTTTTGGGCTCCTTTAGAGCTTCTGAAGGTTCCGTTATAGTTCTCGCAAACCGACTCAACATATATATATTCTACTTCGAAAACATGTGGAATCTCTTGAATATAATCTAATTGTTATTGAAAACAGTATTCTAATCAAATTGGTCTTATACAACTAACTCAAGATGTTGTGTGGTAAACTGCATGTCAAATTGATAATTATATTCAATTAAAATGAATTGAAACATCCGATTGTTTAATGTAGAAGAAGGAAAGAATCAAGTTGTTGAATGGTCCATGAAAATTATATTTTTTAGTCATTTGTGTATCAAGTGATATGAATTATTGAATGTTAACTAAATGGTTAAGAGATCTGAATATCCTGAGACTTATCGCAAGTCAAGTCATATTGTGGTGTATGCTACTTATGTAGACATAAGTAGTATATGATGTTAGTCGTGAACAGAAGAAGATCGAACAGTGAAGAAAGAAAACAGAATGTAATTTGTATGAAAATGCTGGAACAATGGAAGTCTGAGTCATTTGACACAATTGATGGACATTTTGCAAATTAACTATTAACTATATGGTTGTTAGATTTTACTAACTAGTTCTGAAATTTGCTGTCAATTACATTCGATTGTCTCCACCCGGGTTGGTGTTCATTACAATATGACGTGCATACTATTATTGTAGAGTCATTAGGTGTGCAATGCTCCTTTGGTTTCAATGGTATCCTATCTGATATTGGTCAATAATAAATATCATCTAGCACTCTGAACAATCGTCTCAGTGCCACGTGTTATATCAAGAACTAGAATTTTCGCTATACTGTATACAACTTGAGCACTGGAGCATCCCAAGTCACAAGTTAGAACAAATAAAGGTTGAAGGAAATCTTATTCCAAGCAGTCAAATATGATACAAGATACTCGGGTATTTCTAGTACTTAGTAAAAACGAATTCATCATTAAAGCCATCCAATCCGCATGCAGTGCTTTTCAGCATTTGTCTAATCAAGGAGCTACACGTCGAGATTCTGAAATGTTCTTTCAAACAATTATTGCAGGAAATGTCTTTAGCTCTTTCAGACCTTCCTTGAGTTCACCGGGAGCTGTTTCCACACAAGGTATGTGAGTTCTTTTTAATAGAGTTTTGTTCTCTGAAATGGATGCTTTGGTCGTAGAACACAAACTTCAAAATGAAAGCTTCACGATCAAACCATCCAGTTCAGAGAACAAAATTCCAACAAAATCATCCACCTAGGCTACAGATACTCTCCACCATTTCAAAATCATATGAAAATTTCTTTATTAACCAGTCCTTTTGCCTTTTCATATAAGTTCATCGACAGCTTTGTATTATCAATTTAGTAATTTTCTTTAATGAACAATCATTACACAGATACACTATTTACTTTAATTCAACTGACTAATTAAACAATCCACGAATGTAATCACAATTGGTTGATCACTGGGTGGTGATCAATGTCATGTGTGTCAAGTCCTTATTAGTGTAGATCAAATGTTATCGACCGTATTGCAATGTGGCCCGGATAGCTCAGTGGTAAAATCTCTGACTGTGAAGCTGAGTGACACCGGATCGAATCCGTCAGGAAGCACCCGTTCCCTTAAGATTACAGGTACACCTTGCTGACGAGTGCCAAGTAGCACAAAACTCGGATACACGGTTTCCTATCGACTACCTCCAACCACTATCTAATCTACGCATGTTTCTACAAATTCCCCTTCATAGTTTGTTCTTGTCATCCCCCTAATAACTAAATTTTAATAAAAGTATCATCAACTATTTTAATTGAATTACACTTTTTATAGAATAATATTTTAGTGTATTTTAACCATATAAAAACTCCAGCAAAAAAATAATGTATTACTTTAATTATAATAAAAACTGTTGCTATGGCAACGATGCCATCAATAAAAGACATGTAAATACAAATTAAGAAATATATAAGAAATATGTCAGCAATTGTAATAGTCACACTAAGGCCATTACTTCTATGATTATTATTATTACTAAAGGTAATCATCATTAAAATCACAATTAATGAGTGGTTCGTGAAATGTTTATAGGCTTCAATTTTAGTAAGTGGTTACTAATGGCAACAACGGTGTTATTAAAGTAAAGCGCGAAATTTATTTACTAATTCTCTTTAGTTTTAATAATAACTGAATTAAAACTGGAACAATGATGAAGCATGATGTGAAACACAATGAATTCAGTCTTCTTTTTTGTGATACGTTGAATAAATGAACGAGTCGTGGATGAGCACTGCTGAAGAGTCGTATACCAAGATGAAACGGTCATCAAGTGATTCTAGAGTGATCTAGCTTAAATCAACTCATGAATTCAAACATTAAACGATGTTAGACACCAACACCATTGGATACCGGCTCAGTGGTCGAGTAGGTTAAGCGTTCGTGCACGGGACTGAAGGCACTGGGTTCGAACCCCGCGAGGCGGGATCGTGGATGCGCACTGCTGAGAAGTTCCAAAATAGGACGAAACGGCCGTCCAGTGCTTCAAGGTTTCCAACGGTGTTCTAACATCAGTCGATTCATGATCTCAATCAAAAAAATTAAGCGAACGATTTGTTAAAGTTCCAGTTGTTGAAAGAAAATCATGGCCATTTATAACATTTTACCCTTCCTTCGACATTTATAAATGTATTTTAGTTATATGGAACACAGAGCCTGAAACATATGTACGTTGGTTGAAGTTCTAACATATCAACAGCCAGATTAGAATTAAAAAGGGACCACAGGGTATAAAGTTACTTTGGTATTCAGGGACTAAAAGACGATAATAAACGAATGAACTCCCTTCATTTCTGATCCATATCGCACAGTCTCTAATCATCGGTTATGATAATAGTCGAGTAGCAACCAGGAGATTCACAGCTACTCCCGTGACTCAATCTAACAATAATGATTTTAAGGACTTATGTTTGGTATGGCTCACAATAGCTTTCTTCTAGTATACTTTTAACCCAGACAACGTAGACTGTTAAGGTAATCGGGTACGCGCAACACATGTCTCGATGATCTCAGTTGAAGAAGACCTACCACCTCATCAACCAATTTCCTCTCTACTTAGCACTCTGTTTCTAATGTCATCATCACTCACTGATTGGCGCTGATGTGAACCGGGAAACAAGAAGCCCTGACAAACTACGAAGGCTATTTTTCGGAACGTTATTTCATTTTATTCAAAGCTTGTATAACACTGACATTTATTTTTGTCCCTAATCTATTCTACAGAACATAAGCTTTCGTTCGATGTATCATTCACTGCCATACCTTTTTCTGTTCCGAAGCTATTGTAATTTAAACATATTATTTTGCACCCTATTTTCTACTCTAATTCCCAGCTTTGGACATAATTGTATTTTTCCTAATTATTGTACGTTGCGGTCGGGTTATTCACTTATTTATTCATGTACCTTTTTACACTAATCTGAATTCAGTGAATCCAGTGAGTTCAGTGGTCAGGAAAATAGATCGAGTAGTGTTCCAGTTGTCTTGTCTTCTCTCATTCGTGTGCTTGCCCACCAATCAGGTGACAGAATAGTTTTCTTCTCTCTACCCCATCTCGAACTCACGCGTACTAGTCTCAAGGTTAAGCCGATCAGCCTATCGCATCAAGGTCGGAATCTAGATTAGACAAGTATCCTCGGCACCAAAAAGTGGGTAGACAAATCAAGGTCATAACAGGCGCCAAAATGAAAACGATCATGCATCGAATCACGTGGACATTCATCAATTGAAGTGGTTGACATATGTGAAATCTACGTCCATCTTGCACCTACAAACACGCGCATTAAAACTCCGAGTAGGAAGAAAGCCATAGGCGTTTAAACCAAAACGTATCATCAATCCATAAATTTGTTGACTAATAACCTTGTAGTGGCTGTGCTTCGTTAACCAGTCACCCTCGTAACCGTTATCGTATAATCCTCAACGGTGTTTGAAATCAGAAGGCAAAGAGAAGCAGCGACTACAGTTTTATTAGCAGATAACTCAAACCACAAAACAGAGAGGCGAATGAGTGAGTCAGCGAACCGAGAGTGTAGAGTGTTAAATGTACATGGATATACATCGGGAAATGAATGGATCATCGAATCAATTAAGCAGTTAATAATAAAGCTAGCAGAATGAATATATGCATAGGCGGTAAGCGATATTCAAGCATACATATTTCATACAAGCACAACAATAATAAAGGTACAATAAGTTGTTATAGTACGGATAACTCTGTCCGCTAAATAAGTTAACAAAAGGGTTGAACTGAACTAAATATGACCAAACTTAGTTGCACGTGAGCTGCTATAACCTGAACCATGTGGGTACACGAAGACTATTTGATTCAGATGTGCAAAAATAGCGATCGAAGGTATTCAATGACAGAATCCGTTTCAATAAAACAGATATATTCATGTTTTACTTCTCTTTAGAAATGTAGCATAATATACGTTTTTTATAAATATCAACTGTTCATTCATTCTTTTTTCAACTTTTCAAAGAAAAACCTTGAACGAGATTGTCAGACGAAATGTTGGATTTAGTTCAAATTCATTAGGTCTATCTGGTTGGCATATAAACCCTATATGTTTGAAATAAATGATTCATATTGCAAAGGCTGAGATTGGTGTTCTGGACTCAACAGACAGGGCTAGGCAGGAAGAAGCACGGATAAGGACTATAGACTGTTCGTACTTGTTTTATACGTCATTGTTACGGTCGAAAATTCACTACGCTCTAATTGACCGTATCATTACGTTATACATTAACAGGGCACATAGGCTACAAGATATAATTAATTCGGCGTCCATATACTGTGAAACTAATCAATCAAATTTAGACGAAAGTTCTCATTTACGATTCTATAACTCCTAATGTTCAATCTCTATTATTAGCTAAGTATCTTGTATATATAACTCCGCCTGGAGTCCCTCCGGTCCCAAGCCCGTATAAAGGAGGAGGGTTGGGCATTATTCAAACCACTTAAACTCTGCCCAGCGAGTCAGAAGGTCTTCATTTAGAAGAGTTATGACGCCTCATGATGAAATCCGAGTTCCTTCGGCAGTCACGAGGCCGATGCCCCTCCTGACAACCAGAGCAACCATTTATTTAGGTACATGGAATGCTCGTATAATGTGGGAGAGTCTTCCGAATGACTGCAAAAATGAGGAGATACAACACAAAGGTGCTTGGGACGCAAGTTGGACAAAAGCGACTATCTTCAGGGGAGCTGTTGTTATACTCCGGACATGAACAGAAAAATGCCCCACATACACAAGGAGTAGCATTAATGCTGTCCAAACAAGCACAAAATGTACTTATAGGATGGGAATCTCATGGACCAAGGATCATCAAAGCCTCCTTCAAAACAAATAAAGAGGGCATTTCAACGAACGTCATCCAATGCTATGCGCCTACCAACGACTACAATGAAGACGCTAAAGATCAATTCTACGATGGGCTGAAGTCAATCGTCGAGAAGTGCCCAATAAAGGACCTGACTATTCTGATGGGAGACTTAAATGCCAAGGTTGGAATGGACAACACCAGATATGAAGAGATCATGGGACCACATGGACTGAGAAAGGAACGAAAATGTTGAGAAATTCGCAAACCTATATGCCTTCAATATACTGGTCATGGGCGGCACTATATTTCCACATAAACGCATTCACGAAACCACATGGACTTCAGGAGGACGTGAGAACTAAGAGAGGAGCTGATATAGGATGTGTGGAAGATTGAGCAATGACGACGGAAAAGGCTGCAAGAGAAGGAAACGTGAGACAACTGTATGACACAACAAAGAAACTCTCTGGAAATCACCGTAAACCAGAACGATCGGTAAAAAGAAAGGATAGCAAGGTAATCACCGACATTGAAGATCAATGAAACAGATGGGTAGAACACTTCAAAGAACTCTTGAATCGACCAGCTCCACTGAACCCACCCAACATCAAAGCAACACCCACGGACCTCCCAATCGGTGTTGGCCCACCAAAAATTGAGGAAATCAGCATATCCATCAGACGAATCAGGAGTGGCGAAGCAGTAGGACCAGAAAACATTCCAGCAGAGGCACTGAAAGCAGACGTAGCGGATACTCCACATTCTCTTCAGAAAGATTTGGGATGAAGAACAAGTACCAACAGACTGGAAAGAACTCCTGGTCAAAATACCAAAGAAAGGCGATCTCAGCAACAGTGATAACCACAGGGGAATCACTCTTCTCTCAATACCAGGAAAAGTCTTCAACAGGGTATTGTTAAACAGGATGAAGGACTCTGTAGACGCCTAACTTCGCGACCAACAGGAAGGCTTCCGTAAGGATAGATCGTGTACAGACCAAATCGCAACTCTAAGGATCATTGTGAAACAATCAATTGAATGGAATTCATCACTCTACATCAACTTCATTGACTACGAAAAAGCATTTGACAGCGTGGACAGAACAACCCTACGGAAGCTTCTTCGACACTATGGCGTGCCTCAGAAGATAGTCAATATCATACAGAATTCCTACAATGGATTGAACTGCACAATCGTACATGGAGGACAGTTGAAAAAGTCGTTCGAAGTAGAGACCGGTGTCAGGCAGAGTTGCTTACTCGCACCACTTCTTTTTTTCCTGGTGCTCGACTGGATCATGAAGATGTCAACATCTGAAGGGAAATACGGGTTTCCAAATGCCCTGACACGGCCGAGAGTGGAGAGAGTCCGCTCTCCCTCTCCAAATGCTCTCACATGGCCACGTGTATATAACCTCTGCCAGGGAAGTCCTACTCACTGCCTTCTCACGGCATTACTGTTGTTTACGAAAATGTTCAGCGCTTTAACCGGGTCCCGAACCAATGGTACACATGAGCTTTAGTATCCTGAAGGAACAAATGACGTATGAACCAATCGTTGGTCACCGGCTACCATGGCACTGCATCTCCTTACGATGCTCTACTGCCTTGTGGGTCAGATCTTCAGGTCAAAGGCTCGGGGCGTGGCCCCCTAAGAAAACCACTTGCTTCGGTTTGGGCACTCATGCAGTATCACAGCCCTCACACATATCAAATGAGTTTTGTGTGGCGCATATGTATTCGTCATCCAGAAGATACAAGTGTTCATTAACAGTTGTCTATGTTGGCCGGACACTATTAGCAACAACCTACTGTGGATAGAACACATCAGATCCCAGTGGAAGTGGATAGGACACACATTGAGGATAGCACCCGACTGAGTCACAAGACAAGCCCTCACATGGAATCCTCAAGGTCGAAGATAGAGGGGAAGACCAAAGAAGAACACATTACGCCGGGAAATGGAGATAGACATGAGAAAAATGAACAAGAATTGGATGGAACTAGAAAGGAAGTCCAAAAACACAGTGGGTTGGACAATGCTGATCGGCGGCCTATGCTCCATTGGGAGTAACCGGAGCAAGTAGATATACTAAAACATTTTAATATATCATATCAGTAGTGCAAAACGATATGTGCATAAAAATATGTTACAAATAAGAATACAAAGTCTTAATAATGAATTAAAGTACTGAAGTAAACAATGAAACAAGATAACATAAAGATAGATAGATAGATAGATAGATAGATATAGATTATAAACATTATAATATATAACAATAACAAGAATGATTAATAAACTCACACTTAGTGATTAATTTAAAAAAATTGTGTATCATGACTAAAACTACCAGCCATTAATAACATTTTATAATTTGATATTAATTTATCATAATGTAATTCAATATATAAACGATGTGAACCTAAACGACTAGTTAATGGATTTGGATAAGATAATTCTGTATAGAATATATATAATTCATAATTTGGACGTCTTAAATCAACTGGACGATTTGGTGGTAACCATGTTTGTGGAATACTGGTAAATTGAAATATTCCTTCATTTGTTGAATTGAATTCATTCTGTAAACAATTTAATACGGGAGAAAGTATAAAAAAACAAACAAACAGAAGAAGATGAAAATTGTCTGATGATAAACATTGGTACAAGGAGGCAACAAATAGATATGCGCTAAATAAATCATTCAATTTATGTGAGGGCTGAGATACTGTCTGGGTGACCAAACTGAAGTAGGTGGTTTCCTTGGGGGCCCACACCCAGAGCTATTGACCTAAAGGTCTAATCTGCATGGCAGTGGAGCAACGTTAGGACATGTAGTCCCATGGTAGCCAGTGACCAATAATTGATTTATATGACATTTGTTCCCTTAGAATACTGAGGCTTATGTGCACTGTTGATTTGGAATGAGGGTTTTCCAACTCTCCTAGATGGGTCCTCTATATCCACAAACTCGGTTAAAGCACAGGACATACACTTTTCGTGCTCACAATTTCGTAAACAACACCCCTGCCACAAGAAGGCGGTGCAGTGAGTAGGACTTCCCTAGAAGTAGTTGTATGAACATGGTCATGTAAGAACATTTCGATAAAGAGAGTTGATTCTCCCCACTCTCGGCCGTACCGGGGCATTTGAGGGTAATTTTAAAAGTGCCCATAGCACTAGACCTCGCCGAGAAGATTTTAATTAGTTCCTAATAAATGAACTGACTGGGACAATAGGTTTTGGGTTAAAAGACTATATTGAGATAATTATGATAACGGTGATTTGTTGTTGGATGACGCGATGATCTGAGAAAGAATTCTCAAAAAGTTTAAAAACAAGATCAAACTGTTTAAATCAGGGAGTTTGTTGTTTAAATTAAACCACGAATTACTAAAATTCTTTACTACAACATGTAGTATTAACACCAAGTTGTTTATATATTCAAATGTGAAATTAAACTTTCACAGTTCTATGAATCCCGAAGTTTAAAAAAAGGTTACTCCATTTCCTATCGTTATCCTTGTAGGTTATAACAGTTAAACGTGTATCTACCAGATTCACATTCCACAACACTTGAGACCATTTCTCAGCATTCTGTACATCAAAATGAGATCTCTCCTTAATGTGCGATAGAACAAAGTAAAGAGGTCCAGGTTTTCAAGCCGCTCTTTGTATGGTACACCCCGGAGTTCTTGAATTGCACAGGTAGCTGCCCTCTGTACTTTTTCTAGGACATCCGAGTCACGATTTAAACAGGGGCTTGCAGCTTGAACGCAGTTCTCAAGCTTAGTTCTCAGTGCGATTGTGTATACTGTGGTGAATATGGTAGTATCTAACTTAGTGAATGTCCGTTTTAAAGCCCAGAGGGTTCTAAACTGAAACCATGTTGTAATTAGGCATTGTCTCCATCGATAGCATACAACAGAAGAGTTCAATATAAGGTTAATTCACCCTAGTAAGTCGAATTATGTATATTCTCTAGTGTAATATAATAATGATATTATATTAATGATTCAATATAATTGATCATCATCACTTACAGGGATACTTTTATCAAATAACGTTTTTAAAAATTTTAAAATCATATCACGTTCAGTTTCTTTTACATTCTCCTTAGTAACAGTAGTAGTAGTAGCAGTCATAGTACTAGGCAAATTAATCCAACCGCCTAAACTAGGTGACCATGAATTCAATTGACCAGTTATATTTTCCAAAAGATTGACATGATTGGATAATTTACATAGAAAATTTAAAAATATATCCGAATCTAACATATAACTATAATCTGTGTAAAAATACAAAGAAAATGTATACTTGATTATTATAATAATAATTATAGTTATTATTTATTTCAACACATAGATATTGGTATAAGGAGGCACCAAATACATATGCACCACACAGATTTCAATTGATATGTGTGAGGGCTGTGATACTGCCCGGGTGCCCAAACCGAAGTAGATGGTTTTCGAGCGTTCAACCTGAACGTCTGACTCACAAGGCAGTAGAGCATCGTAAGGAGATGCAGTCTCATGGAAGCCGGTGACCAAGAAATTGGTTCATACGCCATTTGTTCCTTCAGGATACTGGAGCTCATGTGCACCATTGGTTTGGGATCCGGTGAAAGCGCTGTACATTCGCTTTTCGTCCTCTTATTCCCATAAAAAACACCTGCCACGAGAAGGCAGTGAGTAGGACTTCCCTGGCAGAGGCTATATACGCGTGGCGATGTGAGAGCATTTGGAGAGGGAGAAAGGACTCTTCCCACTCCTGACCGTACCAGGGCGTTTGGGGGAAATAATAATATTAATTATTATTATTATTACACAGAATTACTTTGACACACTAAAAGACTAACTTTCATCAGCATACGGTATCAAATTGTAAGTCATTGACATGTAAGAAACTTCATACTAGGTTTATGCAGAGCAATCACTATTGTACCATCTTTCTTTTTAATGCTTCTAATCTAACTGGTATTATAGTGAAGAAGAACATCAGTGAAGACAGTCGAATGTATTTGAATCCAAAATTACAGAACATCTCTCTAAAATCTGACAACCATATAGTAAATCGTTAATTTGCAAAATATCAATCTATCGTCTCAAACTTGACTGTTCCTCAGCAAATATCAGTTCATTGTCTCAGATTTCATTGTTCATGAGTTTTCATACCAATTGCGTTCCATTTCCGTTCTTTCCTTATCGTTTTTCTTCGGAAATACATTCAATGCCTGATCACCGTTATATACTACTTATATGGATACAACTAACCCAAAGCCACAGTATCATTATAAGATATTACTTATATTATGCGTTTTGGATTGTACGATAATGCTAGAAAGGTCATACCTTTCTTATGAGTTGATCATAAGGTCAGTTATAGAACCAATGGAAATAGTCAATTAACACTTTATGATCAGAATTACGATAATATTTAATTGTGTTTAGAATTTTAACGTGAATAAAGATATTCTTAGTAAATACTTACGCTGTAGTTCGTTTAGTGGTGATCATAAAAATTTCACCTAAACCAACTAACACTAACATTATGGTGATTAATAAATAGAAATAAACATATAGATTTTTGATTATGTTTAGGGTAGTTTACGTTACAGCTATACAACAAAGTTAGTGTGTTAACACATTTTAATTAAGCATTTTCATATCACGGGAGTAGAATAGACAATATTTTTAAAGCTTTCAAAGTTATACATAACTTGGGTCACATGTTACGTATGTCTGAATACCAATTACTACGGCGCGCAATACTGACTAGTGTTGGAGATGGTTGGGAGAAAGTTAGGGGTTGCCAAAGCAAAACATGGTATCACACCATCAAGTCAATAACTTCTACTGTTGGCAGATGCAGACTACTTCGTTGGGGTCCACGTGACTATCATAACCAATGGTTGGAAACTTTGGGTGACATGGCTCAGAATCAATAACAATGACGTCGGTGTATATACTCTTTGTATTCCTTTGAACTGTGAATTTACAATTACTTTATACCATTATTTCAGTGAACTAATTCTTTCTCCCTATCCTTATGGGTAATCTTATTTTTTAGTATATTACTACCATTGAAGTAGTCGATTCAATGAATTTGGCGATCATTTTAGTATGTAAATGAAGTGTGGCAAATTGGACCGATGCATATATGTGCTTGATCTTACGTTGAAGCTGACGGACTATAAATAACTAGTTAGCATACCCTATAGAGATCATGAACACATATAAAGACTTAATAGATGTATTACAATAATGATTTCACCTAGTTCAATCCTTCAGAATGAGAGAGAGAGAGATACTTTGCTTACGACTATCAACTAACAAGAAGCTTGAGTGCAATGGAACTCTTACCGATTACTTTCATTCATTTGACAATTGAGTTGCATGTAGTTCTGTGGTGTGTGCTACTTATGTAGACATAAGTAGTATATGATGTTAGTCGTGAACAGAATGTCTGGCAGCAGAGCGACAAGAAGATCGAACAGTGAAGAAAGAAAACAGAATGTAATTTGTATGAAAATGCTGGAACAATGGAAGTCTGAGTCATTTGACACAATTGATGGACATTTTGCAAATTAACCATTAACTATATGGTTGTTAGACTTTCGTAACTAGTTCTGTAATTTGTTATCAAATACATTTGATTGTTCCCCACCTGTTTTCTGTTTACTACAGTTCAGCTCATGTATGTACTATCGAACTATAGGCAAGACGTCTTTTATGTTCAGATCGTCAATATTAAAATAAGGCCTTTCAAATCAAGTGCATCAACTAGTCGATCCACATTATTACGAATTATATTATTTCTTGAATAAACATTGTTGTACCTCTATACCTCTATACATAAACTAATTTTCGTGGAATGAATAAAGTTAGGTAGTAACATCGTTGGATGTCGGCAAATTGGTCTAGAGGTTAAGTGTCCGCCCGTGAGAATGATAGGTCCTGGTTTCGAACCTCGCGGGGCGGGGTCATGGGTGTGCATTGCTGAGGAGTCTCAAGTTTTCCATGGTGCTCTAACTTCAATTGACTCATGAATTCAATTATAAAATTACTACAATTCAACAAAACCCCTCTCTGATTATACGCTCATTTGTCTATTTGAATTTGTTTCTTTGACTCACATAAGCATCATTTTTCATAATGACAAGATCTTATTTATACACTACATAATACAGACAAAATTTTATGGGGAAATGAAATAATTAATTCATTTCAAATCTATAATAATTTTAAGCAAAGATGGATAGTGGCTAGCAGTGAAATCCAAGACGCGCGTTTCGCCCTATTTCGGACTCATCAACTAAATGTACCTGTGCCTCAGAGTTGATGTTCCCTCTGGAACTCGAATCCAGTACCGTTCACTTCAAACATTCACTACTAACCACTATCCATCTTTGCTTATAATAATACTTATGAATGAAGGCAATACACACAGTATGCATATATCCCAATAAGAGACCAATGAATTACAGTTCTAAATATCAATATGAAGATTCAAGAAAAACAACAATCATTCTACATTCAATTAAAACTTACCACAAAGAATAACATTATAAATTAATTCATTGAAACATGTGAATTGAATTGAAAATTCAGCAATAATTTCTAAGATATCACAAAATGTTGACAATGGAAACTAAAATAAGGGAGATAAAGAAACACACATACACACACACAAAATGTGCTTGTTAAATATTGTCAAGAGAAATTTAAAAAAAAAAGAAAGGAATAAAAATATATATATACATTTTGTGGAGTAACAGGCGTATACGAATAATTGAATAGAATTCAGTCATTCAATCAGTTACAACGTATGTTCAGGCATATATGTGCATTGGTACAAGTTGCCACACCTCATTAGCACAAGCAAGATGAACATCAAAATTCATAGAAGCAATCAACTCAATGGTGTAATATGTAAAGGAAAGATTTCATATAAGGATATAGTACAACAAGATAGAATTAGTTCGTAGAAGGAAAGATATGAAGCGATTTTACTCTCATAGTTTAAGGGAAGACAGAGAGTGTATACACCCACACCATTGTGATCGATTCTGAGCCATTTCACACACAGTCTCCAACCATTACTTACGATAGTCACGTGGACCCCAACCAAGTAGTCTGCATCTACCAACATAACACATACTAGAAGTTAGTGACTACAAGCACTGATGCCACGATTTAGTTTGGTCGCCCCTAACTTTCTTCCAACCATCTCCAACACTAGTAAGTATTGCTTGTCGTGGTAATCGGTGTTCAGACATACGTAACACATGGCCAAACCATCTCAGTCGATGAATATTCATAACCTCATCAACTGATTTACCATCATTCCCTAATACTCTGAGTCTAACTTCACCTTTACTTACCCGGTGATCCCAGCAGATGTGAGCAATATTTCTGAGATATCTGTGGTAAAATATTAGTAGCTTATAAATATCTTCTACTCTTAATGGCCATATTTCGCAGACATACTGTAGAACAGAACGAACTGCCACGCGGTATACTCGTCCCTTAATTCATAGACGGATATTACGCCTGAGCCATAGGTGTCGCAAGTTGGCAAAAGCCAAACGAGCTTTTCGATATCCGTGCTGAATAGAATTCGTTATGGATTGATCTTAGTTGTGATATTATTGAACATCAAATTAATAGATTTAGTAATTATGTGTTCGCTGCGAGATATGTATGTTCTGAGTTCGATTCCCAGTAAGTTTACGAATGTGGATTGACTGAAATTTTATATATGGATCACTGGATATCAAAGCATTGATCTGAATATAACGCGTTTGTGTGGATATCTAAAGATTCCTTCCTTGATTGTCAAATGTTTAAATGAAGTTACACCTATTACACTTCGTGGAGCAGAGATTATCGACCAGGAATAACTAAACAATTCTTTTCTAATTTGCACTGCCTAGTCATCGCCAAGGGTTGTTTATTCTTTTGATGTCTGCTATTGATGCCCGGTACGATGTGTTCTTGGGTCTTTCTCTTTTACTTTTGCCTTCAGGATTTCAAGTTAGGATTTTCTTCGTGATACAGATTGATGATTTATGCAATATATCTCCTAACTGCCTCCAGCATCTTGGTTGGTTGGTTTGTTCTCAAGTTGCAGTCGGTTGTTACTGATGGTGTCTGCCCAACGGATCTGAAGTATGTTGCATAGACAATCGTTTATAAATACCTTCAACCCTTTAGTGATCGATGTAGTTGTTTTCCAAGTTTCAGCTTCGTAACATAGAACTGTCTTGACGTTCGTATTGAAGATTCTGACTTTGATATTGGTTGACAGTTATTCTGAGTTTCATATGTTCTTCAACTGTAGGAATGCTGATACTGCCTTGCCGATCCTTGCTTTCAAATCTGCATCAGATCCTCTTTGTTTATCGATGATGCTGCCCAAGTACATAAAACCTTCCATCTCTTCCAGAGGTTTTCTAACAAGTGTCATATGATCGCTAGTCACTGTGTTGTATATCAGAATGATGCTAATGTGTTTAACTTCCAAGTTAAGTTACTCGTCAATTAATTACTCACAGTATACAACAACATTAACTTTGTAACATAATCAATAGTTGTAATAGTCTTTTGGAAGTTAGACTGGAGGTTTATCATAAATTGTTAAGAAATATTAAATACTGAAAGATTATATCCTAATCTAAAGTCTAATGAAGAAAATGGTAAGATGTGGTGAAATTTTACAGTCAATGGAGAGATTGATCAAAATCGATATTATTATGACTTTTTGAAAGAATTCCCACAACAACATTTATTACTGAAATCTTCCTTATACATCAGTAGTATTGTAACCCTTGAAAAGTGACAACAATATATAATACATACATATTTCTATTGAGTAATATGTTTGTCACGATATTATATACACCATAACGATAATTTATATGATTATCGTCTGAGAAATAATAGCTCTCATGTAAGTTACATCACGTCTGTTGTGGTGTCCTGGTGAATAAAGTGTGATTGTTATCGAACATGCCAAATAATGTATTCAAATTAGTGAACTTTAATATGACTATCAAATGGATTCAATAAGGATCGATCGTGTACAGACTATAACGCAACTCTAAGGATCATTGTGGAACAATCAATTGAATGGAATTTATCACTCTAAATCAACTTCATTGACTATGAATAAGCATTTGACAGCGTAGACAGAACAACATTATGGAAGCTCCTTCAAGACTACGACATGCCTGAGAAAATAGTCAATATCACAAAGAATTCCTATGATGGATTAAACTACAAAATCGTGCATGGAGGACAGTTGACAAACTCGTTCAAAGTAAAGACCGGTGAACTCAAAACAATTGGCAACCAACACCAAGATCGGGATTTTCAAAACGAATGTGAAGACAGTTCTACTGTATGGGGCGGAAACTTAGAGAACTACGGAAGCCATCATCCAGAAGATACAAGTGTTTATTGACAGTTGTTTACGCAAAATACTTCGGATCTGTTGGCCGGACACTATTAGCAACAACCTACTGTGTGAGAGAACAAACCAGATGCCGGCGGAGGAAGAAATCAGGAAGAAGCGTTGGAATGCTGGTCGACGGCATATGCTCCATTGGGAGTAACAGTTGTAAGTAAGTAAGTAATAAGACTATCAGAACAGTTGAATCTACAACTGGGAAGATATATAAAATTTGATTATTTATAGCGAGAAAAACGTTATTTGTAGAACGGATAAACAAATAACTTACAGATTTTGTGACTTTTGATACTATGTCCACATTTGCCGGTTTAGAGGAATTAATTTTTAATAGATCATAGATTTCTTGATCAAGCTTTTTGAGCATAGACGAATACCATTTAGATAATCGAGGATGAGGCACTAAATACATCAGATGTGACAAAGGAAATGACAAAAATTATAATAGAACGACAGAAAAACAGTTAATAAATCACAAACACCACAAAATATCAGATTCTTCCAGGACTTTATATCCCAACAATATTTACAAAAAATACCAGTCAAAGTCAACCTCATAACATTCGGGTTTCATCGGTAACACAGTAATTTTAAGCAAAGAAATCAGTATCCATTGGTTCGCACTTTAAACTGTACACAAGTTATGCAATACAGTACTCGCTATATGATACATAATCATTGTTAGTGCTGGTTCACTACTCTGAACATAAAGCGAAACAAGTAACTTTCTAAGTGGACGGACACCATTGAGCATTCGACCTTAAGGCCTAATCTACCAGGTATTCAAACAGTGTAAGAAAATCTGAACCAAAGATTAAAGTCGATCTGCATGCCACTCATTCCCTCAGTATTATGGTATTTATACTCCTTAATGGTTTAAATCGGATAGTTGAGTCAAATATTCCTGGATTATTTATTTGGTGTATTAGATTCAATCAGTCAGCTGCAACGTAGGATCAGGCACATATATGCATCGGTCCAAGTTGCCATACCGCATTAGCACAACAAGATGAACACCAGATTCAGTGATGGTAATACATAAAAGAAAGATTGCATATAACGATGTAGTACAGGACGAAAAGCGAATGTCTGGCGCTTTAACCGGATCCCAAACCAATAGTGCACATGGGCTGGCTTCAGTATCCCAAAGGAACAAATGGCGTATGAACCAATCGTTGGTCACCGGTTACCATGGAACTGCATCTCCTCACGATGCTCCACTGCCTTGTGGGTCAGACGTTCAGGTCAAAGGCTCGGGGTGTGGCCCCCCTAAGAAAACCACCTGCTTTGGTTTGGGCACCCGTGCAGTATCACAGCCCTCACACAAATCAATTGAGAATTGTGTGGCGCATAAGTATTTGGTGCCTCCCTGTACCTATACTTATGTGTTAAAATAATAATAATAATAATAATAATAATAATAATAATACAGGAAGAAAAAATTAGTTCGTAAAAAGAAAGATATGAAGCGATTTTAATCTCATAGTTTAAAGGAAGATAGAGAGTGTATACACCTACACCACTAGGATCGATTCTGAGCCATGTCACCAAGGGTCTCCAACCATTGGTTACGATAGTCACGTGGACCCCAACCAAGTAGTCTGCATCTACCAACATGGCTCAGACCAAAGTGTGTTACATTATTTATGTTTAAATTATAATCATATGATTATTCTCCGTTAAAAATATTTTATTTAGAGAGGTCTTATAACATTAAATATTGTGACAATATTACTTTATATTTCAATCATTGCTCTGAAAACACGTCTCCCAATACATACTACATTGGCACGACTTTAGTACTAATATGTCAATTACACAACATAACATTTCCACCTAAACATGCATTATATTCACAAGGTCTAGTTTCTGTCATTGCTGGTAACTTGATATCTTGCAACGACTTGTCTCACCTATCTAAGTGACTTTTCAAATCAAGAGAAAGGCACAGTGTGGATGTATTTAGGTGGTAAGAGACACACCAGTTCACTATCTTAACTCATAATATGATCTAATTTCATTTATGAATGTGTTTATTGATGAGTGTTATACAATAAACATGAATTTATAACTTTAGAGCCTGATAGTGTAGTTAGTGATAACAATCGATCGCTCAAATATTCCTTAATTCTGAACAGAAACAAAATGTGGACCACGGTAGTATGGTAAGGAATTCTTATTGGTACATACATGTGCCTAAGAGCACTAAACGATAGGAATCATTAATTTCTTCAAAAATGAAGGATTAACAAATTAAGGACAAAAGGTGTAAAGCTAAATAATAACAGCGACTTAACATCGTATGTATGCTGAATAAAGAATATGGTAGACAATTTAACTTTATTTTTCCCTCAGTTAGGGACGGCCAAACCAAAACGTGGTATCACACCATCAAGTCACTAACTTCTACTGTTGGCAGATGCAGACTACTTCGTTGGGGTCCACGTGACTATCATAACCAATGGTTGGAAACTTTGGGTGACATGGCTCAGAATCCATAACAATGACGTCGGTGTATATACTCTTTGTATTCCTTTGAACTGTGAATTTACAATTACTTTATACCATTATTTCTGTGAACTAATTCTTTCTTCCTATCCTTATGTGTGATCTTATTTTTTAGTATATTACTACCATTGAAGTAGTCGATTCAATGAATTTGGCGATCATTTCGGTATGCAAATGAAGTGTAGCAATTTGAACTGATACACATATGTGTCTGGTTCTAAGTTAGAGCTAAATAATTTTTCTTCCTTCCACGTACTACTTTAGTAAATTGCAATACACTACTTATTATTGCTTAGTAGTTTGGGTTATATACAACTACCTAACTGTCGGGTCAGTTAGGTAGTTGTTTTTGTCTCAACTAATAACTTTTTCCATTCATTTGTATTCTCCTCTCCATATTTCAGTCTTCTGTTTTACCTTGTAATGAAAATTTTCTTCCCATTATCATGTAGTCTTCATTACGAGAACTGTCTTGAAACTTATTTAAAAAAAGAGCTTCATTGACTTCTATTAATCGATCATTATTCCACTTAATACAACCTCTTATGTAACTGATTAATACTAAGTGATGCAATTCAATGATAAACTTTCTATTTCACTAATAGTTTGTGATGTAAATGACCTCCAGATATGTCACAACTTCCAGTATTTATCACTATGGAAACGTATCTGCATAGAAGTTTAGTAAAAAGTTTGACTCAATAGACAGGTTAAAATCCTACATAAACTTAATTGTAAATCTCAGTGTGTTCTGGTGTTTTTCTCCAATAGGACTTTATTTTATTTTATTTTAACACACTCCTATGAATTTGGTGTTCGTTTTGCTGTGCTAATGAGGTGTGGCAACTTGGACCGATGCATATACGTGCCTGATCCTACGTTGTAACTAACTGACTGAACATAGATGAGAAACCTCAACAGAATAGTGGTTATATTATCAACGTTCAGTTTGTCTCCCATCACATGATAGTGATCATAAGTGACTTTTGGTTAATACCAGTTGCGAGTAGCTTAACTGTCATCATGGATTGTTAGTGATTGTAAAATAGGAAATCGCTACATATTCGTTATGATAGATTATTTTACTAAATGGTGCGAAGCAGTACCCATTCCGCAGCAAGACGCCCTAACTGTCGCACGCGCCTTCATTGACCATTGGGTTTCCCCTTATGGTGCCCCACTCTCACTCCACTCCGACCAGGGCTCAGCCTTTGAAAGTCATCTCATTGCCGAAATATGCAAGTTATTCGGAATAAGGAAGACGCATACTACCGCATATCATCCTGCAGGTCACGGTCTAGTCGAAAGGACAAATAGAACCATTAAAGCTATTTTACAATCGTTCATCAACAGATTATCATCCGAGTTGTGGGATGAGGTGCTTCCTCAATGTATGCTCGCTTATCGAACAGTACATGGGTCCACGGGATTCTCACCTGCTATTTTACTATTCGGACATGAACTACGCCTCCCGGTAGAGATACAGTCGCCTTTGCTACCGTACGAAGAACAAGAACACGTACCGTACATCCGTACTCTCCGTAACCGCCTGGCTGATGCGTACCGCTTAGTCAGCATCAACTCGCGCAGGGCTACTAACCGTCAAAAAGATGTATCCGATCGTCAGGTGCAAGGACCTGTGTATAAAGTTGGAGCCCGTGTCTGGTTAGTTACAACGTAGGATCAGGCACGTATATGCATCGGTCCAAGTTGCCACACCTCATTAGCACAGCAAAACGAACACCAAATTCATAGGAGTGGTTAAGTCAATTGTGGTAATATATAAACGAACGATTGCATATAAGGAGATAGTACAGGACGAAAGAATCAGTTCATAGAAAGAAAGATATAAAGCGATTTTAATCTCATAGTTCAAGGGAAGACAGAGAGTGTATACACCGACGCCATTCTGATGGATTCTGAGCCATGTCACCAAGAGTCTCCAACCACTGGTTACGATAGTCACACGGACCCCAACCAGGCAGTCTGAATCTTCCAACATGGCTCAGACTAGAAGTTAGTGACTCCAAGCACTGATGCCACGATTTAGTTTGGCCGCCCCTAACTTTCTTCCAACCATCTCCAACACTAGCAAGTATTGCTTGTCGTGGTAATCGGTGTTCAGGAATACGTAACACATGGCCATACCATCTCAGTCGATCAAGATTCATAACCTCATTAACTGATTTACCATCATTCCCTAATACCCTGCGTCTAACCTCACTATTACTTATCTATGTTCAAGTATTCAAACTATCAATGAACTTACAATAAGATCGTTGTTTGATATGGTCGATTGGGTTATTTATCTGCAGTTAACAGGAATAGTAACACTTAAAAAAATCAAGTTGAGAACAACTTCTAAAGCAGGAAACCTAATGAACGAATTTGGGAATTATTAAGTGAAGACAATGAAATTGTGGTTTCCAATAAAGAAATGTCACATATTATGTATAATACCGAATTCTCCTCATAAGTAATAATAGAATGTTATAAAGTGAATAATTAATTGAAAAATCATTATCTCCATATTATCCTATCAACTTACCTAAAGAATGGAATGTGAGCATACATTCTAGTATGATATGCGGTAAAAGTGAATGTAAATGATCCACTAAAGACCTTGATTTTAGCCAATCAAGTATACTTTCTGCTTCCGATAATGCATCATTTCTAGCTAATAAATATATATTTATAAAATGATAAAGAAATAAAAAAAGAGATTAGTAATGATTGTTGTACTTGATAGACAGATAAATAAAACACTACACTGTAAGTAACATGTATAGGATCATGAAGTTGTTAAGTATGAAATTGCTTAATTTAAGTGAGACTACAAACGTACCGTAGTTCATAAATCGACTGAATTGTTTACTGGTACAAGAAACATACATGATGTACTTCGGTAAACAAGTTCAAATTTCGTTAACCAGATTCCAACTACGTTGTGTACAGGTTACTCAGCTAACCAAAAACCGAAGTAGATAGAGTGGGATGTGGAACTTATAAATTATTGATTGAAACCCGAGTTCATCAACCACGCCTCTTTTACCCCAAACCTTTAACAAGGTGAATTATAATCATGCTGTAAGGAGTCCAGTGATTTAATCATATCAAACGATAGGATACCAAGCGAAATATGACTGCTATTCATAAGAACCATATATCATACTGAGACACGGGATATCAGAAGAAAAAGGCTTCTGAGATATTGGAGATGATTCTTAGCTCAGGTGGATGATTTTGATGGAGTTTTGTTCTCTGAGCTGAATGTTTTGGTCGTGAAGCTTTCATCGCTCTTCTGAACGACATCATCAGCACAAACTTCAGATAGAAGTCTATCTATCTATCTGAAGTTTGTGCTTATTATGTCGTTCACAAGAACTATGAAAGCTCCACGACCAAAACATCCAGCTCAGAGAACAAAACTTCATCAAAAAAAGGTTTCTCTATAAGTTCGAAGAAATAATATTAAGGGGAAATACCACACTTCACAGGCATTTCTGAGCAGCGTAAAATAACAATGAAGTGACCACATAGTTTGTGTCGGTGGGTTTAACAATAGGATAGATCGTTCCGACGATGTAGTAGCAAGATTACAAAAATTTGAAAAAAATGTTTACTTCATAGACTAAGTATTTAGAAGACCCAGAAAATCCCTTGAAAAAACCTAGAAAGGGCCGTAAGAACTCTGGGAGACATCCAATCAGCAGTCAACAAGGTTTCCAACGATCATCTAGAAGGTGAAAAGTCACATGTCACATTCCTGATTGGAAGACTACCTATTCTGTTATTATGTTTAGAAAGGTTGCAAAACCTTTCAGAAGTCCAAGGCCATCCAGAATGCTATAAATGCCCTAGATTTCTGCACATAAACTAATATTAGATTAAAGCGTTCTTTCGCGCCTTTTCTCTCGTGTTCAAGCTGCCATTTAAAATTAACCTGGGGTTTAGGTTACTAGAAGAGCTTAGGAAAACGGTCCAAGTGTTCAAATAGATTTACCACTAATGACCTAAACTATTGATTTTTACTGAAGTCACCTAATTATCAGCATCCTTATTCAAATTTACAAATCAAATCGAGAGCATCAACCACACAATCATTTATTTAATTTTTATCATATAACTTACAGCAAGCATCTAACCAATTAATTTTCGGATGAACTGACTTAACGTCATCATGAGATGATGGAGAAGTTTCATCATAAACATCAAAATATGCATCACCATCATCTTCATCATCATCATCATCACTTTGAACTTTTAATGTTTGATGTTGATGACCTTCTCTAGCTGTGATTTAAAAATAAAAATAAAAGATCATGTTCTTTTTTCTTCAATACATCATACATAGTTAATCAATAATAATTTTAACATAACCGATTGTATGCATAACATTATAAATTGACTGATGAGGTTGTTAGTCTCAGTTCGTTCGGAGGTATGTTTCATATGCCTTAACATAGAATACTTTAGCAATGTAAGGTAGCATGAGAGAAATCTGAAAAAAAAACTAAGACATTGCATCAGTAAATGAATTTACTAACTGTTAACCTGAGTCACGTCAGTAGCAAAACCTTTCCAGTTTTGAATCCATGGGATGATCGTAAAGTATAGTTGGAAGTGTCATTTAACAGCTCCAAATAGTTCTCTTTTTAAACCGAGTTTTAATCTATCCTTTCTCTTCTGCAATTTCATCGGTCTATCTCGTTTACCACATCCAATTTTTTTCGCTGCTTATAAGTGTAATCACACTTTGACTGATACATATTTTTATCAAGTATCATATTGTCGCTGATTGAATGATCAGGTTCAGAAATTTTCGGCTGACTTTTGACAACGACCTGACATCAAGACATAGCATATGCTACGTAAAGTTACTTAGACTAGCAACCATGCCGTAACTTGATCTATGAATTTGACCAACACTATAGGATACTAAATAAATAGTGATATTAATCACTACTCAATGATCAATAAATTGATTGACTGACCTACGTACTAGAGAATAATAGTATAAAGTATTTATTTATTTATTTTAACACATAAGTATTGGTACAAGGAGGCACCAAATACATATGCGCCACACAAATCTCAATTGATTTGTGTAAGGGCTGTGATACTAACTGGGTGCCCAAACCAAAGCAGGTGGTTTTCATATGTGGCCACATTTCGAGCCTTCAACCTGAACGTCTGACCCACAAGGCAGTAGAGCATCGTAAGGAGATGCAGTCTCATGGAAGCCGGTGACCAAGAAATTGGTTCATACGCCATTTGTTCCTTCAGGATACTGGAGCCCATGTGTACCATTGGTTTGGGATCCGGTCAAAGCGCCGGAAATTCGCTTTTCATCCTCTTATTTCCGTAAAAAACACCCCTGCCACTAGAAGGCAGTGAGTAGGACCTCCCTGGAAGAGGCTATATACGCGTGGCCATGTGAGAGCATTTTGAGGGGGCGAGCGGACTCTCCCCACTCTCGGCCGTACCAGGGAAATCGGGGCAATAGTGAGTCGTATTGTTCATTAAATTGTTTAGTTGGTCATTATACTACTTCTTTTGTACATAAAAATTAACTAAACAACAACAACAATAATAATAAGTGATATACCCTTCAAAATGCACCCATTAAATCGATGTAAAACACAATCCAAATTATAGTAACAATCAATAGGCCAATCTTTAAATTTTAATTCATTCATTGATTCGATTGAATTATGATTCCATGCATTTAATGATGGTTTATTTTCATCAATGGATACTTCTTCTTCTACTATTATCTCATTACTATTATTAATATTCAATTTATTGTTGAATACTTCTTCGTATAATCTTTGTGATGGTAAACAAATTAAACGATCATAACGAAGTTGTAATTCAATGTATAATTCATTAAACATTGAATTGATCAATAATAAACAATCCTTGAATTCATAATGTTTATAAACAAGTAGATTAGCAATGATCACAGCTAAACGATGTATTAATGAAGTAGGATTTGGTAAGCCGAAAATCGAAGCGAATTTTTGTCTCTTTAATTCAAGAAAAATAAAATGAGGTAAATATTAAACTTTTTAAAGTATAATTACAATCAAATGGATCTGGTCAATTTGTCTTATACTTTATTGTTTTGAAAAACAGTGAGCACTAGGATACTACCCGATACTACCCAAACTGAAGCAGGTGGTTTTATTAGGAGGTCAAACCCGGAGCCTTCGACCTAAAGGTCTGATCCACAAGGCAGTGGAGCAACGTAAGAAGATGAAGTTCCATGGTAGCTGATGACCAACAACAGGTTCATACACCATTTGTCCCTTCAGGATACTGGAGACCATGTGAACCATTGGTTTGGAATCACAGTTTTCCAACTCCTCAAGGTGGATCCTCCGTGTCTAAGTTCATTACTTAAACAGCATCTATCTACAAAAGTATTTACCAAATGACTTTTATTCTGTGTATTTTATCCCATTACATGAAATACAAGAAAGTATGATTTGATTAAACTCCCTAAAATATTTGACAACAAAGTTAACTTTCTTGTATGTGCGTTAAAGAACTAATGTATAACCGTAACTGCTTCATGAATGGGAACAACGGTTCAATCGAGTTGTTTTAAGATAGAAAGTTGTAAAAAATTAAAAGCAGTCGATTTCAAGTAGAAAGATGAAGTTATACTATTGAGTATACATTAGAGAATAACAACAATAGGACGATTGACACCGTTTGCTTCAAACGCCATCGCGTTATCCACTTTGATACTGAGTCCTCATACCCGCCTGCTTGTGAATTTTTATTCACTTGGTGTTGTTTACTTGTATCTTCCCATTGTTATTTAGGACTGTAATAAATTAGTCTCCTGTAGGCATATGTGCATACTGTGTGGACATCCTGTATACTGCCTTAATTTACAAGCATTATGAGCAAAGATGGACTCAAGATTCAGTAGCTAAGTGGATAACGCGATGTCATTTGAAGCGAACGGTACTGGGTTCGATCCCCAGAGTGAACATCAACTCCGAGGCAAGTACATCCAGCTGACGAGTTCCGAATAGGACGAAATGCGCGTTCTGGATTTCACTACTAGCCACTATCCATCTTTGTTTATTAATTTATTCATGTTCAAGAGTCAAGTTAATTAAAGATTATACTTCCATTTTAACTCCGCCTCGAGCACCTTTGAAGCTACTGCCGGTCCCAAGCCCAGATAAAGGTGGAGGGTTGAGCATGGGGTTAGCGACCCCATCCTGTAGAAAAGTAAACCGTTAAGAAAATGCTAACCAGAAATATTTCCATTTCATACCTATTTTAAACAGATTAAAGATTATAATTGTTGATGAATCATCTATAAACACATTCATGTTCAAATTGTTGCCATTACGATATATGGCTGCTACACTGTCATTTAGTCGTGATAAAAGGCTAGAACTATACCAACAGGATAAATAATAATAATTTTGTACAGAAAATGATAAATTTCCATATGTGCAATTATCTCTTCCTTGAATCAATGATACTGAAACGCTTTATAAAAATCCTATTGGACAAATCTATCGTATTAATTATTCCCCTCAAAAAATTGAAGGATCTTTTTTTAATCAATTATGTTAGTAAAGTGAATTACATAATAGTAACTTACGTCTGAAGAATTCATCATCTGTTGACGTTTCCATATAATTAATTCATGTATTGATAAATCACCAAATGATAATGTTAGTTCATTATAAAGAACTTTATTACAAACACCTTCAGCGTCAGCATCAGGAAAAAGAAACTTTTTTCCAAGGAAAACACAATAAGAAAAAAAATTGTAAAATCCATGATATTATTGAATGAAAAGAAAATACCACATGAAATATAATACGAATATAACTTCATACTTAAAATATGATAAATGAATGCAGAGGTCAAACTACTATAGGGAGACCCCCAAACACCCTGGTATGGTCGAGGATGGGGAGAGTCTGTTCTCCATCTCAAAATGCTCGCATATACAGCCTCTGCCAGGGAGGTCCTACTCACTGCCTTCTCGTGACGTTGGTGTTGTTTACAAAAATGAGAGGACGAAAAGCGAATTTCCGGCGCTTTAACCGGATCCCAAACCAATGGTACACATGGGCTCCAGTATCCTGAAGGAACAAATGGCGTATGAACCAATCGTTGGTCACCGGTTACCATGGAACTGCATCTCCTCACGATGCTCCACTGCCTTGTGGGTCAGACCTTTAGGTCGAAGGCTCGGGGTGTGGTCCCCTAAGAATACCACCTGCTTTGGTTTGAGCACCCGTGCAGTATCACAGCCCTCACACATATCAAATGAGATTTGTGTGGCGCATATGTATTTGGTGTCTCCTTGTACCAATATCTATGTGTTAAAATAAATAAAATAAAATGAATACTGTAACTAAGCGCTTCATCTTTACACTCACTTGACATTCTCTATCTTTTCACATTCTCATTATTATTGTGTAGTGCATATGTAATTAGTACCCCTTTGTACTAATATCTATGTGTTCAAATATATTACAAAAAAAAAAAAAAAGAAAAAATACACAAATATTCTAACATTACTACTTACTAGTAGAAACTGAACAACTGAATCACTTGACAAAATAGAACCTAAATAATAATTAAGAACATAAAACATATAAGAATATTGATTTGAAACATTAAAACTTCATAAGGAAAATGGTAGAAATCGATTTCTAAAAAATAAAAAAATAAAAACACACATATATTCAACGAACATATACTTATAATGAGCTTCGATATAGACTTTAATGAACATCTAAAGCCCAGGACAGAGTAGGTTGGAGAATACTGGTCGGCGGCCTATGCTCCATTAGGAGTAATAGGCGTAATTAAGTAAGTAAGTAAGTAAGTAAGTAAGTAAGTAATGGGAAACTAAATGGAACTTTTCCAGTTCAAATTGATACATGATTAATTTATTGATCACTTGTATACAAGAATAGATTATGTTATAGTAAAACAAAATTTTAACTAAATTCAATGTATCGTTATTACAATTGGAATCATAATGAAAAAGAAAATTCCTACTTTCTCCTGGTTTTTCAATATTTTTCAAGTTAAAAATTTATTTCGGGTGGAGGGGAGGAGAGATAAAGTACGAATACAGTTAACAATTTGATTTGATTGTATAATCGATGAAATATATATTAATTATGATGATACATGACAATTCGACCAATGAAATAGCTATATCAGTTCAGTTGTACACTGTATATAAAATGTCAATCCGTCAACTACAAGGTAGGATCACGCACATAGGTACAAAATGTAAACATAAGTTTCTTTAAGAAGAAATTAAGACGAGCAACAAGATGGATTATTATTATTATTATTCTCTTAATGTTATTATCAAAGAATTCTATATACTATTTTCTTCTTAAATAGGATGTGACTGATATGCTGAAAAAGAATTAAGCCTGATTGTCAGGTTATTTGTAACTGAGTAGCCGACAATAGTTCATATACTCAAAACATCTTGTGTTTTTTTTTATAAAAAAATAACATAGAATCTATGTTCAATTTCGCGCTTATTTTTTCTACATAATTTGATTGCGACATTTATCCAACACTCATTTGACTAGCTGATTGTTTTGTTGTCCGATAATCAGTCTATTTGATAACAATAACTCGATCTAGTGAACAGTAGTTATCAGCTGGTCGTATTATTCGACAATGTATCAAACATCTATCGAACCGAGTTCTCTTAACAGATAAAAACTTACATTATTCATTACACAACTGAATACAATTTATTAATTAAAGATCAATCTGAATGTCAGAATATATTTTCTTGGAAATTCTTTAGTAATTCAAGTAAATATCTGGATATCAGACAATCAAAGTTATGCAGTTAAACAGTCCAATCAAAGTGTATGTCTTCCAAGATCAACGCAAGTGTCTTGCACCTTTATTGAGAATATAAGTAAACCATTTGAAAAGCTTATATCAGCAGCTCTCTGTTATTATTATTTTTATTATTATTATTATTATTATTATTATTTGAACACATAGATATTGGTAAAAGGAGGCACCAAATACATATGCAACACACAAATCTTATTTCATTTGTGCGAGGGCTGTGATACTGCGCGGGTGCCCAAACCGAAGCAAGTGGTTTTCTTAGGGAGCCACAACCTGAGCATTCGACCTAAAGGTCTGATTCACAAGGCAGTGGAGCAACGTCAGAAGATGCAGTCTCATGGTAGCCAGTGACCGATAATTGGTTCATACACCATTTGTTCCTTCAGGATACTGGAGCCCATGTGGAGCATTGGTTTGTAATCAGGGTTTTCCAACTCCCCTAGATGGACTCTCCGTGTCCACCAACCCGGTTAAAGCGCCGGACATTCGCTTTTCGTCTTCTTAATTTCGTAAACAACACCACCGCTACGAGAAGGCAGTGAGTAAAACTTCCCTGTTAGAGGCTATATACGTGTAGCTATGTGAGAGTATTTCGAGAGGGTGAGCGGACTCTCGCCACTCTCGGCCGTACCAGGGCATTTAGGGGCAGTTCTCTGTACATATTCAGGTAATTTATAGTTTAAACACAAAATGAATACAATATTAGAAAACAAGAAAAATTATTGTAATATAAACATTATGCTTACTAGGATTATCTGATGAGTTATCAGTCGTTTGAATAGGTTGTTCATATTTAGAACAACCTTTAAACAATCGTTGAATTCGTACACCTGAAACAATAGTGTAACAACAAAAATGTACCAGTTTAGGGGTTGTGGAGATTGTTAAGTTTTTGATTGAGATCATGAACCGATTCATGTTAGACCACCATTGAAAACCTGGAAGCACTGGACAGCCGTTTCGTCCTATTGTGGGACACCTCAGCAGTGCTCATTCACGATGCTGCTCGCGGGATTCGAGCCCAGGGCCTTCAGTCTCACACCGTGGCCAGTGGAGCTAATCCGTGTCGGGTAGAAACAGGTGTCTACCTCAGTACAATGGGAGATGGTCGCGCAACTTCGTGGATTGGTTGAGGTTAGACATTAACACCATTAGATGCCGGCTCAGTGGTCTAGTAGGTTAAGCGTTCGTGCACGGGACTGAAGGCACTGGGTTCGAACCCCGCGAGGCGGGATCGTGGATGCGCACTGCTGAGGAGTCCCACAGTAGAACGAAACGGCTATCCAGTGCTTCAAGGTTTTCAATTGTGGTCTAGCATCAATCGGTTCATGATCTCAATCAAAAACATTAACTATAAATTTAATAAATCAGCTTTCACAAAACATGACTAAATGCTGTCACGCTACGTAGTAAAATAGAAGTTTATATTTGAGTTTAAGGCTAGCAGTAGTCAGATCAATGAATTAGCATCAATCAGATAAAATTATTGACTATAAGTGAGAACAGAGTCCGGAAGTATAAACCTTCGTGGTTGGGTATTTGTGAGTGAATTATTATACATTGCTAGAAAATTTGGTTAACACGGTTCGTAATCAATTTACATTGTTATGGATGCATTCTTTTTCTTACCTTTCATTAGATTTTAAGTACTAATATTAACTTACATTTTACATTGTTTGATTTCATTTATACCCTTTAAACGTATTTCTTTTAGTTTATCACCACCATTGCTGCTACTCGATTCTGTGTCACACTATTTTATATGAGTCCTGAGAGTACGTACTATGATCAGGCTTCTTTGATATCAATGAGGTGAGGTTCAGACCCACAGCCTACTTGTTGAAAAACGACTAATGTAAACATAAAGCTACTGAATTCATCTACTGAACAATAGCACTTAGTAGTTTCTGGTAAAACTAAAAAGGCTTCGAAGGTTAAGTTGTGAAAGGATAACACGGAGAGAGTGGGATAAAGAGAGATACGTCACCTCAATCACAAAGTCTTCTATCAAGTTCACTCAGACTTTGGTATTGTAGTGAACAAGAATACAAGTGGGGACAACTGAATCTAAATGAACACAAACTTACAGAACATCTTAGTAAAATCTGAGAACCATACAGTAAATACTTCATTTGCAAAATGTCAATCAATCGTCTCAGACTTCACTGTTCCTTCATTTCCACAGCAATTATTCTCTGTACACGTTCTCTTTTCTTTGATCTTCTAAACCCTCTGGCTGCAGGTATTTCACTTTTGATTGGTGACATATACTACTTATATCTATCAACATTAGTAGCACACACCACATGTGAGGTGGAAGCAAGTTATGATTAGTCAGTAGGTGAAGATAGAGATATTCGGTTACGTTAACTATAATAGGAAATCTTATATTGAAAGTTGATTCCAATTTCGTCCCAATTTTACTCCACTTTTTTTGCTGATTCGTGTTGTGTTATTTACTTAAACATATAAACATTTGTACAAGGAAGCACCAAATACATATGCGCCACATAAATCATTCGATTTGTGTGAGGACTGGGATACTGCTCAGACGTCAAAACTGAAGCAGGTGGTTTACTTAGGGAGCCACACCCAGAGCCTTCGACCTAAAGGTCTGATCAACAAGGTTCATACACCGATGGTTTCCTTGGGATCCTGGAGCCATTGTTCTGTAATCAGGGTTTTCTAACTCCCCAAGGTGAATCCTCCATACCCACCAACCCTTTTAAAACACTGGACATTTGCTTTTCGTTCCCTCGATTTCGTAAACAACACACCTACTCGCAAGAAAGCAGTGAGTAGGACTTACCTGACATTGGCCGTATTTGCGAACATTTCGAGATCGAGAACAGACTCTCCCCATCCTCGATCATACCAGGGTATATAAGGGCTGTGTTGTGTTAATGAACTATTATTCTAGTCAATGTCTGATTCTTCATCGTTGGTTAAATAAATGGGGTGAGTATATCACATGATCAAGTACCGTAATATGTTGAGTCTATTGATCTAGCACCTACTCTAACGAACGAGTATTTAGTTCTACTGAACTAATTTATCCAATATTTAGTATCCAGGGTAGGATTATATCAAATGTTGTATCGATGTAATAGTCGTTTAGTCATAGACCATGTAAGAAGCCATTTTAAGAACGAGCTCGTTCTTAAAAAGTATCTTTAAACCGATTACTGTTGATACAAATCGACTACCTCCCTAGAACAAGTCAATGGTAGTAGAAGCTAGGATTCGGGTTTGTTACTCAATAGTTACCATCCAATTGCTTCAAAATATTAAATCAGATTTTACCTATGTCATCTAGCACGTTAATAACTCAATTAAGCAAGAAATTTTATTTTAAACAAATACAAAATGAAAACATACTCATTTTATCGGCGAATGGATTACTTGCACATAATTGTAATTGACAAATTGGTGCACCTTCCGGCTTTAACAACCTACAAAGCAATAATAGAAATAAATGAAAGACGAATTAGGTAGGACAATGACATGAGAAAACAGACATAGAAATAACATTCATTAAAACTAAGTGAATTTAAAAAAAACTTTGATGATATTTATTTCAATGTTTATTTTTCATTAAATTGACAGTGTAGATAGGAGAACGTTAAGGAAACTACTTCCACACTATGGAGTTCCTGAGAAGATTGTCAATATTATTCGGAACTCATACGACGGACTACAGTGCAAAGTAGTTCATGAAGGACAGCTGACAGATGCATTCCAAGTAAAGACCGGAGTCAGACAAGGCTGTCTACTCCCCCCTTCCTCTTTTTCGTAGTGGTCGACTGGATTATGAAGACCTCGACATCTGAGGGAAAACACGGCATACAATGGACAGCTCAGAACCAATTAGACGACTTGGACTTTTCAGATGACCTAGTTCTCTTATCCCATAAACACAAACAAATACAAATAAAGACAGCCAGCGTAGCAGCAGTCTCTGCATCAGTAGGCCTCAACATACACAAGGGGAAGATCATGGTCCTCAAATACAACGCGGAGAACAGCAATCCAATCACTCTTGATGGCGAAACTCTGGAAGATGTAGAACCCCTCACATACCTGGGAAGCATCATCATCGATGAACAAGGAGGTTCACATGCAGACATAAAGGCGAGAATTGGCAAAGCAATGGCAGCATTCCTTCAATTGAAGAACATATGCAACTCAAAACAACTTTCAACCAATATCAAAGTCACAATCTTCAATACGAACGTCAACGCAGTTCTACTGTATGGAGCTGAAGTGTGAAGAACTAATACAACCATCATCAAGAAGGTACAAGTATTTATCAATAGATGTCTACGCAAGATACTCAACATCCATTCGTCGGATACCATCAGCAACAGTCTACTGTGGGAGAGAATAAACCAACTTCCAGATGAACAGGAAATTAGGAAAAGACGATGGAAATGGATAGGACATACATCACGTAAATTATCAAACTGAATCACAAGGCAAGGCCTAACTTGGAATAGTGAAGGGAAGAGGAAAAGAGGAAGGCTAAACAACACATTACGTCGGGAAATAGAAGCGGATATGAAAAGGATGAATAACAACTGGAAAGAGCTGGAAAGGATTGCCCATGACAGGGTTGGATGGAGAATGCTGGTGAGCGGCCTATGCTTCTTCGCGAGGAGTAACAGGCGTAAGTAAGTAAGTTTATTTTTCATTAAAACTCGACAATGGTAGTTGGTTACTGATTAAACCGATCGTTTATACATATACAAAATACAGCTTACTTCCATGATGGTTTCTCAGTGATTGCATGACTAGGTACTAACGGCCATGTAGTAGCTAAATTAAACGATCTATTTAACGAGAGAGAAAACGATAATGGTAAAATGTTACATGTATAAAAAAAGTAATTTTATAATTAGTATTGAACTTCCATATCGCGGCGGGGTTGTTGTTTACGAAATTGAGAGAACGAAAAGTAAATGTTCGGTGCTTTAACAGGGTTGGTGGATATGGAAGATCCACGTAGGGGAGTTGGAAAACTCTGAGATTCCAAAACAATAGTGCATGTAGGTTCCAGGATCCCAAAGAAACAATTGGCGTATGGACCTATCGTAGGTCACCGGCTACAATGGGATTGCATCTCCTAGCGTTGCTCCACTGCCTTGAGGATCACACCTTCGATTAAGTTAAAGGCTCGGAGTGTGGCCTTCTAAGAAAACCACCTGCTTTAGTTTGGACTCCCGGACAGTATCACAGCCCACACACAAATCAAGTAACTTGTGTGGAGCATATGTAAACGGTGCCCCATTGTACCAATGTTTATATGTTTAAATAAATAAATTCATATATTATAAAGTCCACTGTTGAGTAGTATTATCAACTCCTATTTAGACGAAATCGAAAACGGTTTAGTATGATAGGAGTTAAGAAAGCTTTCTACAGACAAGTGTTGTCATTTCGCCGCAAACTACCTTAAAATTTATTGAGAATATTTAAGAGAATGACCTGATCAACGTATTTAAACACTACTTCTTATACCTATCTGAAAAAGAATTCTAGACGTTTCGTGAATGTCTAAGATACTGACATTTTGTAGGAGGTTAAACCCCGTGTGGCGTAGGTGAGATATCCGTCTGCTAACAAAAGGACTAGTAAAATGAACAACAGTTCACTTCGTTCTACCATATGGGTGTGAAATAGAGGATAGAGGATATTCGTTGGTAACTAGTATTTGATCATAGGTATCTTCAAACCATTGCTCATGTATTTTAGGGCCTTTAATTTAGAGATTTTGAGGTTAGACGCAGAATACAAGGTAAAGATGGCAAATCGATTGACGAAGTGGAGAACCTTTATCGACTGAGATGGTTGGGACACATCTTACACATGCACATCCACTAACTATGTACGATAATGCTTGGTGTAGGATTAAACTAGATAAAAGCTAAGGAGAACCGAACCAAGATATGGTATCAATTGGTGAAAACACTGACTGTTAAACAGAGCCATGTAGGTAGGTGGATAGTACACATTTATTCGGTACTTGTAAACTAATTTGAAAATGATCACTATTATTTACAGCATATGACTGATAATGTCGATTAAAATGACAGTGAAAGCTACAAAATGAAATCATCCAGCTTAGAGAGCATAACACAAATGCCCTGGTACGGCCGAGAGTGGGGAGAGTCCGCTCTCCCTCTCCAAATGCTCTTACATGCGTATATAGCCTCTGCCAGGGAAGTCCTACTCACTGCCTCCTCGTGGCGGGGGTGTTGTTTACAAAAATGAGAGGACGAAAAGCGAATGTCTGGCGCTTTAACCGGACCCCAAACCAATGGTGCACATGGGCTCCAGTATCCTGCGGGAACAAATGGCGTATGAACCAATCGTTGGTCACCGGCTACCATGGGACTGCATCTCCTCACGATGCTCCACTGCCTTGTGGGTCAGACGTTCAGGTCAAAGGCTCGGGGTGTGGCCCCCTAAGAAAAATAAATAAATAATAAGCATAACACAACCAACATTAGAATGTACTCAATAAGTCGAGGGATCGGAAGGAAATAAATTAATGATCTGAAATAGAAACCTGACTCGTGAGAATCTGTTTCATCATTTAAATAAACAAACAGAGACATAAAATGAACAAATTTACTATGCTACAAACTCACAGATTCAATGAAGATCTTTGTAATAAGTCAAATGAGAACATAAAGGAGTTAGTATTCAGATACTCCACTGTATTTTTAATAATAAAAACAAAACAAAACCGAAAACGTATGTTTTAGTCATGACGAAGACAATAACACTTAACATAAAAACTAAATTAAAATAATTACAACGACTGTGCCAAATCACTGATTTGATTCGGTTTATGGATATCAGCTCTTCAAGAAACTAGTCCTTCAGTTCGATCTTGCGAAGAACAGTGGGTTTATACTGCCATGGAGTGCCATAACAGGATTAGACCGTTATTCGGTGGTTGCACCAAATATTTAATGGTGGTCAGTACAGAAGTAAACTGGAAGAAGGCTAAGAGTGACTGTATTAGAACGTAGCAACAGCTATGAAATTACTGTGTTGGAAAACGAAGCCTCAGGATGTACAGTTCTTGATTAAGGTCCGTACATTAGTTTTAATCTACGATATAAGCACAGGCTCTGAGTTGATTTTAACTAGACAGACTATTTAATAAATAATAAATATACATAATATATGTCACATTTACAACTTACCTCGTAATGACGACCATGATGGTAGATGATATATGAATCTGGCTGAAATATCTAGTTTTGGAACAGGATAATTCACACTCCAAGGATAACCCTATACAATAAAAAAGGCATCAAAAAATCATTTCGTTAAAACTAACACATTTTAAAGCACATCTATAAAGATTTGAGTTGTTTAAATTCTCGCTTTCGACGAAACCTCCACTGAATTGCAAAAATAATAATAAAAAGTTCTAGCTAAATAATGTGCATAATGTCCGTGTCCATCAACCCGATTAAAGCTCCAGAGTTTCACTTTTCGTTCTCTCAATTTGGTAAACAACACCACCACCACGAGAAGGCAGTGAGTAGGACTTCCGCTGGCATAGGCTGGCATACGCGTGACCATGTGAGAGAATTTCGAGAGGGAGAGTTGACTTTCGCCACTCTCAGCCGTACCAGGGCGTTTGGGGGCAGGTTAATTCAAATTCATACTAGCTAGTAGTTTTTCTATGACCAGGTCATAAAAAGAAATACTACCTAGAAATTAACAAAATGTTTGAAAAAAGACGACTTAGTTAAATAAATCATTTCAATGAAACTTACCAATTTAGTAAGGAATATTTCTTTTAACCCACTAAGATGTGTACAATTCGCTAATATTTCACTTTCAATACGGCAGCTAGTAAAATCAATATTTAATGAACCGATCCGATTAGAAGCTGACGATGACGATGACGATGATAAAGTATTGATACTATTGTGAAGATAATTTGTATAATCACTTGATTTAAGACAAGATGATGCAGCCAAACCAAAATATGAAGGTCCATAATGTTCCACCAAAACTGGTACAGGACTATACTAATGCAAATAATAATATTAATAGTGAAGCAAGTTAAATTCAAAGGGAAATATTAAACAATAATTTCTTTCAAAGATAGTCTTTGTTATAGACTTATTTCAGCGCCCCCGAACGCCCTGGTACGACCAAGAGTGGGGAGAGTCCGCTCACCCTCTCGAAATACTCTCACATAGCTACACGTATATAGCCTCTAACAGGGAAGTCCTACTCACTGCCTTCTCGTAGCGGTGGTGTTGTTTACGAAATTGAGAAGACGAAAAGCGAATGTCCGGCGCTTTAACCGGGTTGGTGGACACGGAGAGTCTATCTAGGGGAGTCGGAAAACCCTGATTACAAACCAATGCTCCACATGGGCTCCAGTATCCTGAAGGAACAAATGGTGTATGAACCAATCGTTGGTCACCGGCTACCATGAGACTGCATCTCCTGACGTTGCTCCACTGCCTTGTGGATCAGACCTTTAGGTCGAAGGCTCAGGTTGTGGCCCCCTAAGAAAACCACTTGCTTCGGTTTGGGCACCCGCGCAGTATCACAGCCCTCGCACAAATGAAATAAGATTTGTGTGTTGCATATGTATTTGGTGCCTCCTTGTACCAATATCTGTGTTCGAATAATAATAATAATAATAATAATAATAATAATAATAATAATAATAATAATAATAATAATAACTTATTTCAGCTAGAAGGGGGAACAATGGGGAAAAAAGAAACCAGAAGAACATTAGATAAATGTTTTTATCTTAGTTTATAGGAGTTCTTAATAGTATCTATTCATCAACCACATTCCCTTAAAGATCCAGCATAAATGCTTCAAATTTCAAGACGAGTAACACTATTAGTTAAGATTTGAAATTTTAGGGCACCTATTTTGAATTTCCATCAATTTGTGATATTAGTCTGTGATGAAAATTAATTTTTTTTCAAACTAACATCCAACAGATTACACAAGCAGGTGGCTATCAGGGCTCAGTAACTAAGCGGATAACGCGATGGCATTTAAAGCAGACGGTACTGGGTTCGAGTCCCGGAGTGTATATCGATTCTAGGATGCAGGTACATCCAGCTGACAAGTCCCAAAAAGGACGGAACGCGCGTCCCAGATAACACTGCTAGCCACTATTCATGATAGAACTAACTCAATTTAGTTCAATATCAACACGGTGTTTCCATTGAAATCAATTGGTTTCACTATACAAAACTGAATGCTTATTAAGCTTGTTAGAAATAGATTAATATTCTTTGAATGTCATCTTCAGTTGTATTTATTAATGTACATTCACTTATGGTAAAATATTGATATAAAAAACTATGAAGAAAAATTTCTGCTAGATTTTCAAAACATGTTCGTAGTAGGCTGTCTGAAAGATAATAAAGTATTCATAAGTGTAATTGTCAGGCACTTAACAGGTAGTCAATCAGTCGATTACAACGTCGGACCAAGTATATATATTCATCGGTTCAAGTTGCCATACCTCATTAGCACAATAAAATGTCCAGGTAGTGAATAATTTGGATATTAACAAATAATAAATGCCAATTTTCATCTATTTTATAAAGTCTATTAAAATTAAACACTTCACCTTTGACCTATGTGTACAGAAACGAAAATGTGATATACTACTCTTTGTCATAGTAAATATAATCCTAATAAAAAACAACTGAAGTATAATATTATGAATTCAATTACTTCGTGGACTCTCTTCACAGATATGAACAACCTAAAAACAACAATATTAATCAACTATAAAGTAAACAAATCATTGAAAATCTTTCATCAACTACACTGTTTCCGGTGACCGTATAGTATAATTAAACCTCAAACTTAGAATGTAGCTCTAAACCAATTACACGAATCTGTAACTGGTAATTTATCATAATAGGGAACAATATATGCTGATACAAGAAGCCTTTACACTTAACTTTTTAAATAAGAAAGATTAGTTCAGTGAAGAGTTCTCCCATTATCAGTGAATTCATTTTCAAAGCTGTACAACCACAACTAATAAATATTTGATTGTTAATGGTTTAAGTATTCATCAAAAGATAGATAGGAATGGTTCAGCATGATAAGATAAAATGTTGAAATTGAGATTCAATGTAATCAAGATGATCGTAGAAACAGAGATAAACCAGTTGAAGGTAGAAGATTTAAGGGGAAGATGGAAGATGAAGCAGATGAGGGTAGAGGAAGAAGAGTATGAAAAAGAGAAAAAAAATTATAAGACATTACGACCATGGTAGAACAAGAGGTTGTATCAGTCTCTTATGCACAGATGTATCACTAATGCTTCAGCAATGCAAAGAAGATACAGTCTAATTGTCTTTGGAAGACTTCTACTTACCTTGTAGATGACTTTGAATGCAGAGTCTATCTTGATTGAGTGACCTGTGTGTATTCCGTTTACTTAACTTTTTCTTGTAAATGTCAATAAATGTAGGAATTGTAAAACGTTTAACGTAGACATAATGTATGCTAAACGAATATAGACTATTTCTTATTTTGAATGTATAATTGGTTACAGAAAGGACAGGTTTAACCTCGCCCTCCCACCCCCAAATAGAAATCTTTGAGAAATATTCCATTAAAGAAAAGGGTCCGACCAAATACATGAATAAGTGGCAATTTTATTAGGCTAATTAAATTCAGATAAATTCATGTGTAGATTCTGAAATGATTTCATAATAGAAGAGAAAAGATGTTAACAAGAAATACAGTTTATACTCATTAAACTCACCATCGAGTTGCATAAACAGCCATTTCAACTGAACTAAGCAATAAACTAAGTCGTGTTCCACCTTTAATTTCACCATCATCAGGTTTTAAAATGAATGCATGAGATAAACCAAACCTATATGTTATTAAACATGAAAAGATAAAAAACAACAGAAGAAAAGAGATATGTTAGATTGATAGTAATTAATACCATATGCTAAGTAAAAATAATTTATCAATACAAACAATTGTATGAAGCTCACTGGTAACGTCTCTGACTGTGAAGCTGGGTGACACGGGGTCGAATCCGTCAGGTAGCAACAGTTCCCTCAAGATTACAGGTACAACTTGTTGACGAGTGCCAAGTAGCACGAAACCCGGGTCCAGGGTTTCTTGTCGACTACTTCCAATCACCATCTAGTCTCAGTATAGTGCACGTAGTGTCAAGTCACCTAGACTGGTGGCCACATTGCAACATGGTCGATAGCATTCGATCTGCACTAATAAGGACTAGACACGCATGACATTGATCACCACCCAGTGATCAATCAATTGTGAATTGTATGAAGTTTTATGTTCTATGCTTCGAGTACAAGTAAAAAGTATGTCAACAGTCATCAGTTAGTATTAATAACTTTCAAAAGAAACTTCCGCTTATTAAGCAGAAGTTAACCCTGATATTATTTCGCTTAAAATGGACTAATGTTGAAATGATTCAATGGAGAGTTAGTCGTACATTTCTTCTTTTCCATAAACACCACCTGGAGTCCTTCCGCGGGCTACTGCCGGTCCCAAGCCCGGATAAAGGAGGGCATGGGATTAGCGACCCCATCTCGTAGAAAACTAACTCGCTAAAAAAACGCTAACCAGAAGCTTCTTTTACACTGCTGACAAAGTTTCACTTCTGAAGAGAACCATTTAAATTACTGTTTAATAACAATTCACAGATGTTTTCGTGAATCTTATCAAATGTAGCTGCGTAATTTGTACCTCTCCACATGATAATTAGTATAAGTTATTATTTGACAATCACACCTTGAAAATTACCCGTATCAGCAAGTATAACTTTACATCTTTCTCTGAAATGTGATATTCAACGGGCTTTAACATTTTGAGATAATTATAGTGATTAACAATTCTCGATTTATGAACGAAACAATCAGATTTATTATAGCGAGTCTTGGATTTTAGCATTACAGCTGTCAGTTAGTGATGAAAACGCTAACTGTAATATCCAACACTGTTTTAAAACACCCTTTCGACCCTAGTAGGCAGGTACATTTCTTCACAGTTAATTTGACATCGCTCGATGGTCACTCAAATGTCATATAAAAGCAAATTAACAGTTATTATCAGTTGACATCAACTAAAAAAATCATTGAAAATAAAAGAGAACAAGACAGGCGCTTCTTCTCAGGTTAAACCTCCCTTATCCTTACACATCGTCAACACAATACTCACCAGAATAATGGAATAATAAATCGTCCATTGAAATCAGACATAGAAGTAATAACACGAACACCGTTTCTCGAAACTAGAATAATCTAAATGAAGATATTATACACCTACTACTTTCAGATGTGATTGTATGGATCGAATTCTTAGTTTGTTCAGATTCAATACAAGATTTATAGTAATTTAAATTGAAGATTCTCTCACCGAATTTTAAATTTCCACAAAATTGAAGACGTCCACAAACTGAAGACTAAAAATAAATGATTTATTACATTAGAAATAAATATAATAATAACGATATTATTACAGTAAAACGTTAAAATTTCAGCGTAAAGCATCAATGGATAAGATTGTAGACTTTCTGGATGAAACAGGGAAAGATAGTCGGAACCAACAGTAACTAAGGTCTCAAGTTGATGGAAGTGAGAACTAGTTAAGTGACAGCTAGTTATGGACATAATTTATTTGAAGTGTTTTAATTAAGATTTATAATACACCGTTTATTTACATTCAGGAATGAAATTGACCAGTCTGTGTCACAAAACGGATTGTCTCAAAATAGTTGTCACAAGCTTAAGTACATTTTGTATGTGACTGTGAATAGAATAAAGGAATTACGTTTCACTGTATTTACAACTCGTCAGCTGAACGTAACTGATTCCCAGTGTTGATGTTCATATTGGTCGCCGAACTCAGTTTCTTTCACCCCAAACCCCAAGGCGTTTAGACAACAGATCCCGATCAACGAATAAAACCGAAACAATTGTGATCTAAGTTTATTAACCACACTCGTCCAGCATCATAGGTCTTCCTTATTATTGAGGAAAGAGGAATTTAGTATTATGTAAAACGTTTCGGTTACTCGCCTCTCTTGATAATTGGAAAAACCTGAATTGTTTTGATATTTTTAATATCGATTTGGTGATTATTAAATTTAGCGGATACTGTTATCACTAATTTAACTTCTAGCTTTTCTAATTCTATGGGATTATTAGGTCTTTTTGTGTAACTAACTTGTTTCTTGGCTCGAGTCGAGATCTCACAGGAAGAATCTCCAGTTTAGAACACATCACAATCGAAACAACCTAATCCTCTAGACAAAATTTCGTGTACGAGTGAACGAGATCTTATATTTCATTCTAACCAAAGCGCTTCTTAGTGTCAGTTATCCTACAGAAAGCTTCAATTTTGTACGTTTGCAATATCCGTTGTAATTATTCTGTCGTACCTTAGCGGTAAGGTAAAACCACAGTACCAATCCAAGGCCTTTCATTAAAGTTGTTATTTACAAAAGAACAGTTTTGTTTTAAATTTTTTAATAATATTCTTAGCAAAGTTATTAAATTGTAGGGTGTTTATTATACTGTCTTTTTCTGTAAGCTTATCTTCTTCTGAAGTAATGATTTTGGTTGCTCTTCTAAAGACTCAGGAAATTTTTCCACTGAATGGATGTACTAAGTTAAAATCAATCTACCGATCTGAATGCATCAGTCTTCGGTATATAGTTAGATTAAAACTTCCATTAGAATTCCTTTAAACTAAACGGTCTAAGAATGGCAGTTTGTTATATTCATCTGCCTTTTCGAAAGTGAATTCGATGTTTTCGAAGAACGTGTTTATCTGTTTGGTTAACTTTCTAAAGTATTTTTAATAGTACCTCAACCAGATGTGTTGGAGTGATCCAGAAAATTTCTCGCAAAAGACAAGCAAGGATCAGGAAACACTAAGAAGCATTTCATCCAATCAGCGTCCACTTGAAGTTTTAGCCAGAAACATCAAGGAATTGAAAAGTCACATGTAGAGGTTCTGATTGGCTGATTGTTATACTGCTACTATGTTTAGTAGCATTCCAGAATCTTCGAGCAACCCAAGGACATTTAAAATATTATAAAAACCTTATATTTCTTATATTAAAATGAACCTTTAAACGAGAGTACTTCTCGCATACTTTTCTCTTTCTCTTCCGTGTTCAGCTCTCTGTATAGTTCTAGCTTGGGGGTTACAGGAACAGCTTAAGAACCGAGTACAGCGTTCAGATTGCAAGACTTATCAAGACTGAGAAAAATAAATAACTAGTTTAGAACCGAATTCCAACGGGTTTAGTCAAAGATAATTTGTTTCCCAGGATGTGACATCCTCAAATATTTTGGCGAGGAAAAAGTGTGCGCTCAGATATACCAAGTAAACATTTTAATGACAATTACGGTTTCTGGTATTTATACTCATACCTTCAAAATTTATCGTTAGACAAAAAGAAAGAAAAGCCACACTCATTTTAGTGTCAGCTCTGATAAACTGCAGTAGTGGATATCAACAACAGGGAAATATAACACCTTTTCAAAATCTTTATATACTTGTTGAAAAAGTATCTATTCTGTTAAAATGACTAATCAGTAGGCCGGCAAAAATGGTCGTTTCAAAAAACATTAACGTGTGCGAATTTACCAGAAATTAAAATTTAGCTAAGTGTTTAAGACAGCAAAAATGGACACTAAATGAGATAAAAGCGACTATTTGTTCAATTTAACACATTAGATCAAAGCAGGTTTTGTGAGAGTTAGTGATACTCCTACCCAAACAATGGCACGAGGTTTTAAATTCATAGCTAATTATGTTGTTTGTTCAATTTGACTTAACATCCGAACATTGAAAGCTCCCAAATGTAGTTTGGAGTGCGGTCTCAGGAGATCTGCAGTAACATTTCGTGAACTTAATTCATTATAATTGGTAGTGTGTAGGGATAAGGCTTAAGCAATGTAAATAGGGTTGGTAGCGAGAATAGAAGAAATGTTAGTTATTGACAAAGGAATTTGCCAACAGTTAGTGGGTAATCATCAGAGTAGAGCCTGGTACATATGTATGCTGGTCCTACTCGTTAGAACGGAGATAAACTAACAAGATGAATATTAACAGAGAGGAATAATGTAGTGACAATGACAAGTAAAGACAGTGGAAAGGTATGTGTGAAGGAATACTTTAATTCAAGATTGAGAGGAAGACAGAGAATTAATGTATCTACGCCACTATGAATAATTCTGAAGTATTTCACTCTTATTACACGAAACCCAAATAAGTAGTCTGCATCTACCAACATAGCTCAGACCAACAACCAGTGATTTCATGAGCTGATGACATATCTTAGTTCATTCGCCATTAGTTTTCTTTCAACTTACTTCTAAATCAGCAAACACAACTTATCAAGGTAAGCGATGATTAGACATACGTATCATTTGCTTTAAACACCCCAGTTGATGATGATTCATAACCTTATCAATCAATTGTCCAACATTGCTAACTCTATTCCCAACTTTAATATTGCTCGCACGGTAGCTCCACGATACCTATGGTAACCCATGAGGGCTTTTTACTTTTACAGATTATATTTTGCATCCACAAAGTCATACAAAGCAGACTGCTGCCCAGTATATAAACCCTTTGGTTGGGAGATGGATATATCACCTGTGTCACAAGTGATGCAAGATGATAAACGTCAACTGAGCTTTGTCAATTCGTAGCGAGATTTCGTCAAACACCAACCCATGAGGACTGATGAGACTCGCAAGACAAGTTAGGCGGTCAACACATCTAACTACTTCACACACTACCATAAATACAGGCGATGATACAGACCATTACCGAAGTGACATTTTGTATTTAGAGAGGGAGAAACATTCCAAACATGGTAGCATTGTTGCTTAAGGTGATAAAAACGATGCGTTTTTTCATCATCTTTATCAAATAGGACTGCATAATCTGCTCCCGTTTGGGTGCGCGGGCTGTATCACAGCTCTCACATAAATCAATGATAACTGCTACCGGCCTCATTATTATTATTTGGTGCATATGTATGTGGTACCCTCTTGTATCAACATTTAAGTGAATTATTATTTCTAAGGGGAGATTTATGACAAAGTCAGTAAAAATGGGAACAGTGGTCAAGTGTGAAAAACGCTACTTGAGGCTGACAATTCGTCATAAGCTCTGACTCTACCAAGTATCTGAGCAGAACCTTTAAGAAGTTTACGTACTTCTTTGCTGCAGCTTTTAATGACAGAAAATACCACAGAACCTCCCAGTCAACAGAGTCAAGTGATACCTTGAGGTCAAGGAATACAGCTATAGCCGGGCGTTAGTAAGTATCCCTATATTCTAAAACCAAACTAAAAGTGAATACTTGATCAACATATCGTGAAAAAGGTAACCTTGAGCGCTGTTAGTTGTGTGGGCAGTCGTCATTACTTGACTTCCCAAACCGCGGGAGGATACTTATTAAGAGACCTAAATATGAAAATGTATTATTAGAGGTTTTGGCTACCTGGACGCGTGACAGTACAGCCCAGAACCTGTTACACACGGTCTTTTTGTGAGTAGTCCTTGATGTTGCAGCTCTGTACTCTGAAAACTACATCTTCTGCGACGGTATTTTTAGGGCCGACCTTTTTGGACCTCCTCCCTTTTGTTACAGGAAGGCAGTAAATGCTGATTTTCTGTGGGAACAGCCTACTGCCATCACACAGTTCAGTCAGAAGCACAACCCCGCCATTGGACATTCTAGTTTTACTGCCCTCCGACCGACATACCTTAGAGGGTAAAACTCAAAGAAACAGGTTTTCCAGTCAACATAGGCGTACTAAGTCACTGCGACATATAAGCCCAACTATCTGTCAAGATAGCAAAGTTTAAGCTACAACTAACCAGTCGGTAAAGGTGAACTGGGATTCTTAGCCCCGAAATCAGCAACTGGAAATCAAGTGCTTTTCAGAAGCACTAGAGGAAAATAATTATCACAAATGGTAATAAACGAAGGTTATCCCAAACATATGATTAGTTTTTGAGTGTATGAAGATTTTTAAAAGATTTATTACACGTTGAATTAATTAGTACTTAACAATTTCAAACTTTACGTGGGACAAAAATGTATAAATTATGCTGCTGCTTACATTCTTTTTCGTTGTTACAGATAAGGCTTTCATAATAATTTAATCAAGGGTAAATTACTGTGAAGTAAATCGTTATTTAGTGGCTCGTTTACAACATTCCGACGGCTCAAATTTTTTCATTATATTTACATCCTCTTCATCCATTTCACCCAGATAAACAGAGATGACATGGGATATGTGAGATAACAGTAAATTATTCAGTAATGCAACATAATTCATAATGAAAATAATGGTAGGGGAAAAGCAAACGATAGGATAATTGTGGAAGTATCTAAAAAGCTTGACCAGTGAAACTTACGACTTCAGTATCCTGTTTTATCATCCAACTTGTTAAACAATTTTCAAGTTCTTGTGTAAAACTGAAATGTGAGGAATAGGTGATAAGATAATAACGATGGAATGTATAAGTTATTCATCTAACAGAATGATGGTAAATTATTGGCGACTAAAGTACATAGTTTTTAATTAATAGATAATAGATCCGAACCTCCGGCCATCTACTTAGTTTCAGACAAAAAAGACATCACTAGACCATTCAAAAAATGCAAATTAAAATCAATCATAGGGATAAACAAGTTACCCACCACTACCTAGTCTTATTGGTCGTTGACAAACGCATTGTGCAAATAATGGGCCAAAAATAGGAGTGAATAATGGTTTGTTGAGCTAATAGAGAGACAACTTGGAACACTTCATTACTAGCCTGACTGTTTGAGGTATTGTTTTTAGACAGATCACAGGCTTCATTTACATGCTTCAGTTTCATTGACAGTAACACTATCACACTAATAATAAATGACGAAATTGAGTGACACGCTTATAATGAATCCACTGAACTACATGGGTAACAGAATCAAAACTTAACAAACTTTCTGACTGCCACTTTGTATCTGAAGCCAGTAAGACTCTCAATGTAACTTTATGCTACTCAAGGGATGCTTTAAACATCTGGGATTATCTATTTTGGAAACTCCCGTTACCTTTAATTTGATAAGTAAAATGAAGAAACTAATTTACAAATAGTAAATTTGACTTGTAACTCACACTTCCCAGTCAGTCACAGCTGTATAATCCTCAAAACGTTCTTCGTTCCTCTCCTGAAAGAGAAAATCAGTGCTAGTATGAAATACATTATTATGATTTGAACACTAAACCATCCAAATTTTTGCAGAGCTTACCTCAAATGTCAATTTACTCAATACATCAACCATATTTGCACTAAGTCACCCTGATCCCAAATCTGGAGACAAAATAGTGAACTGGACAGTCATAAGCAACACACTATCTACTAGCACTGCTTCAACGGAAATTTCCGTGGTTATAAGTCAAAGATCAAACTTTAAATTTCGATAACTAAAAACAGCAGAATATTCGTTGGTATCTGCGTCGGATTGTACAAAAGAGCTCTTAGAAATGAAGAGGCTTAAATTTTATTTGGATCCATCAAGAACCTGAAATGACGAAAACGTTAGTAATAAAAGGGATGATAAAAGAAAAACACCTGTAGTACTACTAAAACTAGTGTAAATGTCTAACCTCCTCAAAAACGTGACTTAATAATGACAATGCTAAATGAATCCCTCTGAATTTATTCTCTAGATATTTATATTCTTTCTGATTCATAATCATGCAGCAAAAGCATGTTGACTGCCTGAAATAGATGGACTCTAACTAAAACACGAACATCTGGTACCCCCTAGGTTTCACTCATCATTCAAAAGGGTGGGTAACCTCATGCTTTGTCAGAAACTGAATTCTGTGGGTATTTAATGAGACCCTCAGATAACCTAGACAATGGATTACAAGCTTTCAGAATTTCTACTCAAGTCAGATTGGTTTTCAGTGACAAGCAGAGACCTGTAAGGCTCAATCCTTAAGCCACCACTCCTCTGATTGTGTATAATTGACCCACCTAATACTCTAGACTCTCAAACGCTGCTATGCCCTGGTGATTTTAAGACTTGGAATAAAATATTGGGTACCGTTGATAACCTGAGTTGTCAAGACTTGCATATGACATACGACTCAGCAACCTTGTAGCGACCTATGTCCGCTCTGAAAGTACTTTTGGCGCTGAGAGGACATGCACAGCAGCGTCCTTATCCGAAGCTATTAAGAAGAAAAAGAGCGACCAGACGACTGTGGTCACACACAATTCAACCACTTAGTAATGAAAACAACCGATAACGACCAGTAATAGCGCGATTTCAAGTCAACTCGACAACCACAACTAACAGTACACGAGACTATAAATAGGCTAGCAGCTATATATATATATATATATATATATATATATATATATATAGCTGTCCCGGCAAGAAAACTACTATCCTCAGTGCTTGTGGAATTTTAGTGACCTATGACTAAGGATAACGTTTTATATAGTGAGACGGCTGCCGTTTAATGCACGTCAGTCAGGCTGTGAGCAAGCTATATCTGACTTTCACCACTAAATGTAAAGTTTAGCTTACGGCAGGATTGTACCTAGCTTAGAAGTATATACAAATATATATGTGGTGTGCTGGGGAATATTGAAAATTACTAGTATAATCTGAGAGGGAGACAATAGTTTACAATGACACAAGCATACAATTGTCAAAGCCCAACATACAAACCAGACGGTAACGTACCATTTGAATGAGTTGAACCCTAGCTCCAGGGTCATAAAAGTTCAAATCGTCTAAGTGATTCTGGACGGAATAGAAGAAGCTTTCGCTTAACGGGCTTCCATATCTAGTAGAAGTGAATCACCGTTGACTCTGAGTATTTAACAACAAAAGAGGAAAATATTAATGAATTATACCAAGTTAGTGACTTTAGTCCTTAAGAATATTTCAAGTTTCCTCTTAAAAGACTCCTGGGAAGTCACTTAACCAAGATCGCCCCACGGCGAATTCCAGTATTTGACCCTTTTTAAGGAGTAGGAGGTACGTCCACAATCCGTTTTGTGGTATAGTCTCGCGTTTCTGGGTGTTACTCCTGAGGTTTGTGTTGAGACTAAGCTTAATTAGGTATTTAAGGGGATGCCTAGAAGTGGTTAGGTAATGTAAGTCATTGGAATGTCACCTCTAATGGGTAAAGGTTCAGTGATTATAGACGCTCTTCATAAAACTTGAATTTGAGGCCTCGAAATGATTTCGTGGCTCACCATTGGATATTTTCTAATGTATCCTCATTTTTTTGGAGTGTAAGAAGGAACACTATATTTTCGTTCTTTCAATAGGGTCGAATAAAACTGTTGAAGATTAAACGGAAAGTTCTTCTGTTAAACTGATCAAAAATCCACTTCAACGTTACTGGTGTAAGGTTTGCTCGAAAGGCACTTTTGTCGCAGTTAGCGTAAGACTTCAGGCCATAGGATACCAACACCCCTAAATGCTTTCAACTCAGGATACCACTAAAAGGCACTTACATATGTTGTATTCATAGTATGCAACATATCTCTAATGGCCTACTTTACACTTTGAAGTGTTAAGATTAGTCAGTTGTTATCCGCGCAACTTTGAAGTCAAGTCAGATCCCCCAGTAGTACTAGCTTATCCCCTTGGCTTCAAACGTCTCCTCAGAGTTTTATATCATCAGCGAAAAGTAATAACTTAAAAGATACCTTCTGAGAAATTCGTTTATATGAATCAAAGCAAGAGTTCCTAGTACTGAACTCTGAGGGACCTCACTTTGACATCCTGTAGCCTGAGAAAGTGCGAAGTTTGCCCTGACCCTAAAAACTCTGTGCTGTTAAGGTGAGAAGTTTATGAGTAGTAAGCGGTCACGTAGACCGTCGCATATGATGGACTCAATGTCTTTTGAAGATGTTGAGAGAATTGCTGCAGGCCAGCATATTAAAGGTTCTCTGAATTGATTTCCGTTCAAGATTGTGCTATTTTGAATACGCTATCAATTTTCCGTCACGTGCTTCAGTTCAGTGAATGTGAGAACAAAACACTATGCGGTTTTCCCACCGTTGGAGCCACTTCCCTCGGTACAGCATAATGAACCATATCCGGGCCAGGAAAAGTGTCCTTGTTTAGACACTGCAGTTTCTGATACACCAAGTTAGTGCTCAGAATAACTTCTTAGAGTTCTGTTGAGTTACAGGGACAACCTGCCAAATGATATTTTTCCGCTGAAGAGCATCTCACAAGATTCTTCTGGGATACCCCTGATGAGATTGTGTCCAGAAAATGGCATATCAAGAAATATTCTTACGTCCTCTTCTGATTTCTGAAAGTGACTGGCCAGAAGAACACGTGTAGAATTATGGTCTACTGTGATATTAGCACTGCTCTTATAATAGACCTAATCCTGAAAATCTATAAGATCTTACTTGGAAGTCACATCATCGTCTACATCAACTCACTGCATCGTTACAATTACCAATACATCATAGAGAACAAGATTAGGTTAGAAATAGAACAGTACATTTAATATGAATAAAAGATATAAGGTAGTATTCAGCAAGGACCACGCCTGCATGGTCGAGCCATGCGCTCCGATCAACTCTAATTCATTCAATTTCTTGTTCTCGCCTTCTCCATTGTTGGGTTTTTCTCCGCGTTAAATGTTGGATATTTATTTCACAAATTGTCTCGTGTTAGGGCCCAATGTCACTACACACCATTTACATCAGTGGTTTTGGCGGATGTTACTGGAAGGAGTTTCGGGTGGTTTTAATGCATGAAATCATTTCTCCGAGTAAGCCGTGTAACCATCAGTGGCTCATTTACGATCTTGGTAATGCAGTAAGAAGATGAAGATTATCAGAACTATGTGATGATATATTAGCGTAATACATTTCGAACAATCTGGTCACACATATACTTGCTAAGAACATTTATGTAAAAAAATAAAAGGTCAACTGGACTGAAAATGGGGTAAGAGGAGACAAAGATAATGATAAGAGCAATAATAATAATAATAATGGGAACACAACTTGAAACCTAATCACTCTGGACAATAAGTCAATATTATGTTTTTATATATAAATATTCTTAACAAGTATATATGTGATCAGACTGTTCGAAATGTATTGCGCTAATATATCACATAGTTCTGATAATCTTCGCCTTCTCATTACATTATCGAAATTTATCAAAGGTATTAATTGCTTTGATTTTCTTAAAAGAAGACTCGTTTAAAATCATTTCGAGTTTCATATTCAACTCTTCCCAGAACACCCTATCATTTCTGTCACGCAGACTGAGATATAGTTCAGAGTTGTCTCGACGGCCCATAATTATGAGAAAATCGTCTCGGACTGTGATTGATTTCACACGTTTTCGAGTACGTTGATTTTGGAGACATTTTATCTAGTATTTGGGATGCCCTTGGGATCCCTGTGCACTTTGCCGACTTATTCGACAATCTTAGACTTGGATTGCGAGACCATTTTACCAGCTGATTCTACTACAGGACCTGAGCTGTTGAGATTTTTTCGATAGTAACACTTAAAATTGAGTATGACAGTCGTATGCTCGAAGGACTATCCTGCTCTACTCGTCTTGGTTTCATTCATATCAACTTCACGGAACATGCGTATATTGGAGGTGAAAACTCAACTGACTGTGTATTTACCAACGAAGAATTTCTAGTTCACAACCTCTCAATTCTGGCTCCTCGTTATAGCCTTCAGTTTTGTCAGCGAAACTGAGCTAAGATATTCCTCCAAAAACAGGCTCTGGAACTTCAAACGATTGAATGTGTCTGCTCTACAGGACTATCTACAACAGGCGGATTGGGATGTTCACCCTCAACTTGATGTGGATGCTCATCGGGACTTATTACTGCACACGCTCTGATGTGCTACAAAGTAGTCAGTTCCTCAAAGGGTCCCCAAAAGCTACAAGCAACCTACAATCATCAAGAACCGCACTCTTCGTTCGGTACGCCGCAAAGGGCACTGTTGGGCAGAATACAAACGAACGGACAACAACGGCGCATACAGGCAATACAAACATATAAGGAACATATACACGAAGGCTATAGGAGAAGACAGGCTTCAGTACCAGATAAAGCTTATGGATAAATTTGTCTCCAATCCGAAAAGCCTATTCCGTTACTCAGCCTCTCTTCGTCAACCCAAAACTGGAGTTTCCCGACTGGTAGGTCCTAACGGATCGACCGGTAACGATGGCGACGCCGCTAACCTTCTGGCTGAGCAATACTTCTAGACATTTCAACCGACACACATCAACTATACTGATGACAGCTTCATCTGCAATTGTACAGGACTTTCCGTAGTGAACCTGAACGCTGACTCGGTGTTCCGGAAACTGTAGCATCTAAGAACAGACACTTATCGCCGCCCAGATATGGTCCACTCTGCTATCCTGAGGGAAGCAGCTTCAATTCTGGCAACACCGCTTAGCGTGATGTTCTCACACTCGCTAAGTCGAGGCGAAATACCGGAAAATTGGAAGCTGGCTCATATCACACCAGTTTTCAAAAAAGGTCGACGCAGCGAAACTTCGAGTTACCTATCAGTGGCTGTTTTCTCTATACCTTCAAAAATCATGGAGTTCCTGATATACGATGGTATACACGACTATCTGCTGTCCTGAAATTTCTTCTCACCCCAGCAGCATGGTTTCAGGAAGGGTTACTCCTGTATGACGAACCTGCTGACTGCGGTGGACAGATGGACAAGCATCGTTGATCGCAAGTGGAAGGTGGATATCATTTACCTTGATTTCTCTAAAGCTTTTGATAGGGTTAATTTCATATATGTCTTATCAATAAGCTCAGACGACTTAGTATCAAACCACCTCTAATTGATTGGCTCAGTTCATATCTCACAAATCGACATTTTAAGGTCAGGGTCAACTTCAATTTATCACACGCTATGGAGTGTCCTGGTGGGGTCCCCCAGGGCTCAGTACTAGAACCTCTTCTTTTCTTGATTTATATAAATGATCTTCCTCAACAGGTATCGTCAGACTTATTACTTTTGCCGATGACGTGAAACGTTGGAGAGAGATACACAAACCAGAGGATATACAGGCACTTCAGGAGGATCTGACTCGACTTCAAAGTTGGGCAGACGACAACAGACTTACCTTTAACACTTCGAATTGTAAAGTAGTCCATCTGTGACATGTCGCAGACTACAGTTACAACTTAGGAAACTCCTCTCTCGTAGTATTCCGAGTCGAAAAAGATTTAGGAGTTCTGATGCCCCACGACTTACTATGAATTACCAATTTTTTCTCTTTTATCGTCAATATATCTAGGTTCTTGCCTGAAAGTATTGGTGATCCCCTGCTACTAAACACATAAAGCTTGTTAAGCGAAAGCTTCTTTTATTCCGTCCACAGCCAATTGAACCATTTTGGATTTTCGGACCTCCACATTACTTTAAGAACCAGATTTTATAACGTACATCTCATCGAGGATTTAATCTTTTAATAACCCATCAGTGAAAATACCTTCACGGCTTGGTTTAGAGATTGTCCTTTTCTTATTAAAGCTCAACATTCCGAGCCTGGCCAGAAATCGATGTATAATTCTGATTCAAGTTAGAGGTAGACTTTCATGTTCGTCAACTTACACTGTAACTCATAATGTGGATACAGTTCAAAGACAGAACGTCATGAAAACCACATAACCACGTTATTGAAACCTGTACAATGTGGCTAGTTGAAGGACCTAAAGAATTCACCAAACGTTTATTACTGTCTCATTGTGTGGATAAGGAATACAGAATCAATGAGATCCTAGAAACCAACATCATATTAGACGTTCCAGTCGATCATCCAGTATTTTATATTCCCGATTCATTAACACAGCTGGGAGAATGAATACGAGGATTTTTTACCATTCATATGCATACAAAAATCCCCTACTTTGTCTCATTCCTTCCCACAACCTTGGCCAACAACCAGGTTATAACAATCATCAATTTTGTCTACGTTCCTATGAAAATATTTGTGAATATTGTCTCCATATGTACCCTTACCATTTTATTTTACATTAGTCTCAATAGTTTAATTGTCTATTTCATTTTTAATATTATTCGCAAGTTTCAATGATGATTTAATCACTGCGTTATTACATTATCCTTCACACACATGTCTCGAATAGATTTAAAGATAGCACGAATATTCATGGCTTCAATACACTTTTGTCTGTAACACATTTATAGTTGAAAGATCCCAAACCCAGTCAAACCAGAAGTCAGGATTGAGTGATTTTGAAGGTTCATTTAGAAGATATTCGGCATTTCGAGAAGTATGTGATCTAAGCTGGCTAGCTGTTGCTAGTGATGCATAGTATGGCGTACTCATTCATGACCCGGTGCGTATGCGTGACCGAACCACTTCAGCTAGAATGCTCTCAGTAAAACTAGCAAATTCAGTATTAGTGTTGATGACTTTCAGAAATATTTATTTTGGTGAGTTGTTTGCCGCTGCTGATTATTTATTTACGTTGAATACTTGCTACAACTATGATCAATAACTTTACCCTCTACTTCGTATACGTATACTATAATTCTACTAACCACAATTATTCAAACGATCAGAATAAATATATTGATATTTTAATTGTAAGGCTTGATAAGAAGTTATGAGAGATGTGCAACTGTCCAACTTGTTTCCACAGAGAGTAACGGTGGTAAAAGTGAATCAATACAAAGTTTAATGATAGGTTTTTCATTCGGCATCCAGTATCAAGTGTTAACCCGATTCATCTTGATAAAATTAACTTGGTCTTGTATTAACGTTATTGCTGGTAACATCCCGTTCATGTTAAACGTTTCAGCCACTCTCGGTACAGCTTAGCAATCTATCAATCATCTTCCAATCCACTTGATCAAATATGTCAACTCGTTTTAAATAATTGTCTACAGAAGATACTCACTATCCATTGACCGGATACCATCAGTAAAAACCTACTATTATAGAGAACTAGACAGCTTCTGATTAAAGAGAAAATAAGGAATAGATGTTGAAAGTGGATAGGACATACATCACGGGAATCTCCAAACTGCATCACGAATCAAGCTCTAACTAGGAATCCTGAACAACAGCGAAAAAATGGAAGACTAATGAACACACTGGCTTGATAATTAAAAACAGAAATGAAGAGAATGAATAGCACCCGGAAACGATTGCCCAGGATAGAGTTGGATGGATAATGCTAATGAGTGTCTTATGCTCCTCCATGAGGCGTAACAGGTGTAAGTAAGTATCAAGGTCAATCAAATCAGTCAGCCAGAAAGTAACAACGTAGAACTTTGTATGTATGTACGTATATCAGTTCAAGTTGCCATACCACATTAGCACAGAGATACAACTGTCGATTCAAACCACATAGTGGTAGAAGTAGTGGAAGTATATGCAGTAATCGGGAACATTAGGGTTTGATCATGTTATTTAAGGAGTATAATCCAGTGGAATAAATTTGGAAAGAGAAAAAGCAGAGGACATGAAGAATTCAGGAGATTATAATTTGCCATTACAAACTGTTCGGAGCCATGTCATTCAAGGTCTCTAATCATTGGTTGCTATCGTCTCGCCTATCCCAACCAGGTAGTCTACATTTACCAATATGGCTCAGTCCACTTTTCAATGGCTTGATGGATTTGTTCCATGTTTTGGTCTGGCTGCTTCTAACTTTCTTTCAACCTTCTCCTACACCATAAAATATCGCACGTCGAGGCAGTCGGTATTTGGGCTTACGTAGCACACGTCCCAACCATCTCAACTGGTGAGGTTTCACTACTTCATCCATTGATTTGCCATCTTTACCTAGTACCCGGTTCCTAACAACTATCTAATTTATCAATGAAAATTTTCAATTCAAATATGATGAGAATACAATTTTATTTTGAATAATTTCTGAAAGGGAAAAACAAATCTTTTTTAATGAAATAAGAGAAAATCATCAATACATGATTGTTTAATGATTCATTGTTACATCATAATGTATTAAACAAAAAATATTGATTACAGTCAATAAAAAGAAAAGAAAGCAAAAACAAAATTGATCCAATTATATTCACCTAATCATATATATATATCGATCAATAAAAAAAAATAATCGTATTCCGCATAGAAACAAAGTTACCACCATTTAATTTGTTGTTGTTGTTGCTAAGGTTACTATAAGCATGACATTGATTTAAACAAAATTCTTATTTGATGGACTTGAATTCACATTATCTAATGATACAATATTCATAATATAATCATCATATGATTTCTCATTTATATTATTATTATTATTATTATTTTCATTTTGTTTTAATTGTTTCTCTCTATTTCTATATGCTTTATAATAATCAATAAACATATGCCACCATTGATTTAATATTTCCCCAGTGATTATATCCCCAATATTATCACGTAACATATGTAATAAAAAATAGCCATCATTTTTAACAAATTCATTGATAAATTTTGGTATACGTATATCATTGAATTGTATATTACAAGCCTCACAATCTAATGAATGATTCAAATATTTATCTAATAATTGTGAATGAATAGATACTACTAAATAATGTTGTATATAAGTAGTTTGACAATTTTTTATAATGAAACGTATTAACCATATAAGAATACTAATCATTGTAATCATAGTTACAAATAATATCCATAACCATAAAAATATATAAATTTTTTCATTAAACATATTTACTGGTAATGCACATATAGCTGTAAATAAATTATTTTTAGTACCAAGATGACGTACTTGTATTGGACAATAGGTTTGTCTTGGAAAAAATTCACTTTCAATCCATTCATGTTTTGATTTTAAGGTTAATATTAATTGATTACCAAAATGGTACAAGTTACCATGGTAACCTAACAATGTTTTGATAATATATAATTGTCCAATTAAATTGATTAAATATAATAATTTAATAAGAATATATATAATAGATATATAATTGCCAATATGTTTACCAATAATGAATAAACTACTTATTGAGTAGTATGAAAATTTGTGTTGAATTTTTGACCATTTTCTTAATGGATTCTTCTTATTATTATTATTATTATAATGATGATAATGTTGACAACTTAAACGAAATAATTGATATGCAGCGGATTCAACAAATTTTTGACGTTTTATATAATCATCAGCTGTATTTGCTTTATATGCCATATCTAATATAGATTCTAAATTTTCACCTAATAAATGGGTTGCTAATGATTGCCATATAATATGTGGTATGAAAAATAACATTGCTTGTATTGATAAACAGAATGGAACCCATTGATAGAAGGCTTTATTAAAAGAAGAAAAAAAACAAAAGAGGAAAAGAAATGAAGTATTATTTTTGTATAAGGAAAGAAGTTAGTATACTTAGTTACAGTAGTAAAAGTATGGGACTTCTCATAGGCAGTGCGCATCCATGATCCCATCTCACGAGATTTAAACCAAGGACCTGTCAGTCTCGTGAGCGAGCGTTTAACCTCAAGACCACTGAGCCGGTTGGCATCCAATGGTATTAATGTCTAACTTCAAACTAATCCATGAAATTGAACGACACATCCACAGTTATCTTCAATGAGTTACTATCTTACAACAGATCACGTTGAATTGCACTAGTCATTGCTTCGCATTAGAACTCCAGGAAATATCTCTTGAAGCCAATCACTAGTGATCATATGTTGATTAATATCAGAAGAGGTTTATGTAGATATTATGGTAATTTTAATAGTTGGGATCACAATTCAACTTTGGTTAGTTAAGTACTAATACAATTTTATTTACTTCATGAACCAACTTATCCTATTATTATATGAACTAAAGGAAACGTTTTTGAGAGGTCAAACTAACACAATTAATTTCTTCATAAATTCAATGATTGTTTAGAATAAACTTCCCAGTTTATATCTACGCGATATCCATAATCATTTGTTGAAGACTTTATGTGACGAACTCAAGGCATTTTACTGAAGAATCGATTTATTCATATCTTGTTTTCATCTGGATATTGAATTTCATTACCACTTGAAACATTCAATCTATTATATGACTATGTTTTTCAACTATAATATCTATCCTTAATTCTTTTTACAACTTCATTTAATACTGTTATTTCGATTGATTTGTTATACTTTATGATAGTCTCATATTTGCGTCATATGTTAAGGTGACGCATATTTATATTAAGCTTTTAGGTTTCTCTCAAGGTCTACTTGTGCTGAATACATATTACATACTAGCCAAGAGTGTTTTCGGCTTCAAGGAGTGTTCATTAAACATATTTTTTATCAAAGCATTGATCATGAGTAACAAAAACTGTGAGAGACTAGCATTTTTCTCATATATTCATATCTATTCAAACACAGTGAAATGGTTTAATGTCCAAAAAATTCGATGCATACATTGGGTAACTGCCTACCCTCACTTACATAGTTAGTTTTCACGAAAAATATGACTTATCAAGTCTTGGCGTGATCACGTTTGTATGTTGTAATAACTAATCACCTCTGATGTTTACAGAATGTATAGTTTATATGCTTATCTGGATAGTAATTGAGAGTATAATATCTTGTATGGTGATACTCGATAGGCAAGTTTATTTGAAATCTTGTGGGGTACACATTAATATGTTACAGTAATGAGCAGTATCATTGAACAGAAATTTTCAAGTGATACGGTTTGTATTCTCCGGAATTCACTTCATTCTCCATGTATTTTTTTTAACATATTCTTCTTCTCCTGATAAAGTTCCAATCCCGCGAGGCGGGGTCGTGGATGCACACTGCTGAGGAGTCCCAAACTAGGAAGAAACGGCCATCCAGTGCTTCCAGGTTTTTCATGGTGGTCTAGCTTCAATTGACTTATGATCTCAACTATTGAAGGTTCAAATTGTATGTTATTTAGATATAAAAAACACATATTTCACTGAACTATCTCTCTTTAGTCAGGAATACAGCTCTACTCATACTGCTTATACACTCGTGTACATTTTCAACCTAATTGTAATCATCTCTTGTTGTAAACTAGAGAGTAATTAAGCAACAACAAGGAGGTTTTCAGTGTATATCAGTGTAATAAACAGAGACGATATTTTTAAAAGTCAGCTTCAACTACTTATAAGTAGGCAAAGAATTAAAGAAAAAATATTTGTGCATCACCTAAAAATAGAACCTATAAAAGATTGTGTGATTTATGTTATTTATGTTGACAGAAATAAGTAGTATGTAACACCGATAGGAAGTGAAATGTCTGACAGCAAAAGATTACAATGAAGTGGACAAGAATGAAATTTGAAAGCAGTTCAAATGACAAAAGGATTCGAGGAATAATGGAGTGTGTAAAGACCAATGAAAAGATGTGTAAATGATGTATTTAATGCATAATTTTTATATTTTACTAAGCTATTGTTTGATTATTTATTTATTTGTTTTGATCTTTTCATTGATTTTAGGACTGCAATTGATTAGTCTTTTATTAGCACATATCCATCCTATGAGGATTACCTCGATATTGCCTTCACTCACATGCATTGTAAGTGAAGATGGATGGTCGCTAGCAATGGAATTCAAGACATGCATTTCATCCTATTTGGGACTTGCCCTGAAGTGAATATCAACTCTGAAATCCAAGTACATCCGTCCAAAAAGGACGAAACGCGCGTTCTGTATTCCATCTTTGTTTACCATAATTTAATATCCGCACTTAATTTTTCACCATTTCATTTGTATTGGACCAGATTCCCAAGCCAAACGTTGGATTTACTTCGAATTCTTTCGTTGAAATTTTAAAAATACATTCTTCCTCTTTAATGTGTCACATTAACTCGGCGCCCAATTATTGTGAAACTATTCGTTTAAATCTAGACGATAGTTCTTATTTATTATGTTTGATAAAGTACAGAATTTAAGTCTACTTTGACCAGCTTGTTATTGTGAACGTTAATGGATAATAACAAGGAAATAGTTTAAATGAATTGCTTTTTGAAAAAATGGGTTCAGTGTTTTGATCTGAATATCTATGTACTATAGACAATAAAACAACTATCTAATGTTCCATGGTTATCAGTGTTTGTCCATATGATGTTAGCCTATGATGCCAGCTAACTGACATAATGGGAAGAAAAGTCAATTTTCGATTGATTTACTCAATATGAGTTTTATTCAACATTACATCCTCTTTAATTCAACGTAATGATCATTCAGTGTAGTATTTGATTTGTTTTCCCAGTATGATATTTTCTTCGGTATAATATACGATATTCTTGTATTCTAGTGACCTGACCTATGCTCAGTATGTGATTTAATCCTAATTATTAATCGAAATGGGTGTACAACCAATATATAAACCAGTGTATTTTCTACTATGATCGGTCATCACTATAGTCGTCGTCATAGTGTTTTGGAGCTAATAAATCTTCACTTATACCAGTCTTTGTGTTCTTACTTTCGAGTCGTGGGAATTGCAGAGGTCCCTCGTTTCGAGTATAAGTGATAAGCGTTTTTCCGGCACAACAATCAACGACGACCAAACATAACGCTGACTTTATTAAACGGAATATGGACTCGGTAGCTAAGTTGATAACGTGACGGCGTTTGAAGCGAACGATACTGGGTTCGAGTCCCGGAGTGAGTCCCAACTCTTGGATGCAGGTACATCCAGCTAACGAGTCCCGAATAGGACGAAATGCACATCCTGGATAGCTAACTTTAAATTTATAATTAACAGTTCTTAGATAAGCTTTAAACGAGTATTTACACTATTTGTGATGACTTTTATTGATAGACTTAATTATTGTAAATATAATGTTTATGATCGAGATCGTGAAAAGTTAAAGATTGTCTAAAGTCCATCTTTACTAGTCCAAACTGCATTGCAACAAAGGATCTATTTCTTAAATTCTAATAATTATAGGAATTGTCTTCAAACTTTGCATAAATTTCATCAGATAGATCTCTTAATCTGTCTTTTATAGAAACAAGAGAATTCGCTCATTAAGTGTATTAATTAGAAGGGCTTTTGGGGATATTATAGTGATTTCAATAGTTAAGATCATAAGTCAGTTGAAGCTAGACCACCACTATGAAAGATCTGGAAGCACTGGACGGCTGTTTCGTCCTATTGTGGGACTCTTCAGAAGTGCGCGATTATGATCCCGCCTCGAGGGATTCGAACCCAGGATGCCTGCTCAGTGGTCTAGTAGTTAAGCGCTCATGAGCGAGACATTTAGGTCCTGAGTTCAAATCTTGAGAGTCAGGATCATTGATACGCACTGCTGAGCAGTCCCACAATAGGATGAAACAGTCGTCCAATGCTTCTAGGTTTTCCATGTTGGTCTAGCTTTAACTGACTCATTATCTCAACCACTGAAATGTAATAATTAGATTTAAGAGTGATATTATGGGGTAAGATCGTTCATAAACAGTTAAGAATGAATATAAATGGCAGGTAATCACTATTTGAAGGGTTTTAATGAATACTCTTTTCAATATCTACATGTTAAATCCTTGGTAAACAGGGAAATTCATTGGAATTTTGTATATTTTCTACTGAGAACTATTTATAGTAATCAAATTTATGACACTGAATAAAGTGAGTATTATTGGTATTGTTCTTTATTGAATTGATATACATACTTGTTTTGTTAACCAATATCAAAGTTACAATCTTTAATATAAGCGTCAATATAGTTAGTTCTACTGTACGGAGCTGAAATGTCGAGAACTACAACAACCATCATCAAGATAGTACAAGTATCTATAAACAATTGTCTACAAAAGATTAATCAATGTCCGTTGTTGGCCGGATAGCACCAGCAGGAGCCTACTATAGGAGAAAACAAACTAGCTTTCAGAAATCATCATACTGAATTATAAAGCAACTGCTAACTTTAAATCCTCAATGGAAGTGGAATAGATTAAAGCCAATGAATACGTTGTGTTGAGAATTAGAAAGTGATACGAAAAAGGGATAAATGATCATTAGAAACAACTAGGAAGAATTGACCAAAACAGAATTGAATGTAGAATGATGATGAACAGTCTATACTCCTCCATGAAGAGTAACAGGTGTAATTAAGTATACATATATGTTAACTGAACTCCTGCTGTAGCTCTTCCAAAGTTACAGCCGGTCCCAAGCCCGGATAAAAGAGGAGGATTGGGCATGAGGTTAACGACCCCATCCCGTAGAAAACTAACTTGCTAAAAAAAAAAACGCTAACCAGTAATATGTTAACTGATTTCAATATATAGTTAATACTTACACATATCCGCTTTATCACGTAATTTATCCCAATCTTCATCTGTTAATGGCATTTGATCATTTTCACGTATTGCTATTGTACCACGTACCCAACATACAGATTCAGCAAATTCATTAAATTTATTATCTGGTGATGTTGGTAATGTACATGAAATCGGTCTAAGAAAATATACGTTAGCCATGGTTACACCAGATAACATTAATATTATAACACAACTAATAAAATGATTTAATCGATCAGCTAAATCTTCTAAATGTGTATAAGCATTAGTTTTTGCACCAGTTAAACGATCGATAAAACCAAGACCAAATTCTAGTACCATTCTTTGAAATGCTACTTCTTTTCTTTTTTTTTTTTGTTTTTCTTGAAAAGAAAGAAAATAAAAGGAAAAGAATAAAGAATATCATAGTTTTCAATATCTGTTTATCTAACAATATATCTGTCTAAGTAACATGTATCAATTAAATCTGATGAAGATCCCGCGAGGCGAGATCATGGATACGCACTGCTGAGGAGTCCCACAATAGGTTGAAACGGCCATCCAGTGCTTCCAGGTTTTTCATGGTGGTGATCTAGTTTCATTTGATTCATAATTTCAACAATTGAAAGTATCGTAAATAAATTATAGAAAAATTATAGTCAAGTATAAATCACTTACCAACACTTCATCCAACTCTGTCTTGGAAATAAACTTTACAGTTGTTTCTAATGGCTTTCAATATCTGCTTTATTTACCCAGTGTAGTATATGCTTTAGCTTTCCACTTTTCTGTCGGCTTTTAAGATTTCAAGTTAGTATTTGCTTCGTGATGAAGTTTGATCATTTCCGTAATGTATGTCTTATTCACCTCTACAGTCTTTTTAATTTTTCTTTTTCAAATGGAATATGGTTTGTTGCTTACCATGGTAGGCTGTTACAGATAACATCCGGTCAATGAACATTCAATATCTTGCTTAGACAACTGTTTATCAATACTTGTACCTCTTTGATGATGATTGTAGTAGTTCTCGAAGTTTCAGCTCTGTAAAATAGAACTGTCTTGACGTTCGTATTGAAGATTCTGACTTTGGTGTTGGTTGACAGTTGTTATGAGTTTAATATGTTCTTCAACTGTAGGAATACTGCCCTTACTTTACCAATCCTCGACTTTTACGTCTGCATCTGATCCTTCTTGTTCATTGATGATGCTTTTCAGGTATGTGAAGGATTCTACATCTTCCAGAGTTTCGCCATCAAGTCTGATTGGGCTGGTATTATCTGCATTGTATTTTAGGATGTTGCTTGTTTCTTTGTCTATGTTGAGGCCTACTGATGCAGAAACTGCTACTACTCTGGCTGTCTTTATCTGCATTTGTTCATGTGTATGGGATAGGGCTAGGTCATCTGCTAAGTGCAAATGGTCTACTTGGTTCTGAGTTGCCCACTGTATGCCATGTTTTCCCTCAGATGTCGAGGTCTTCATATTCCAGTCGAGTACTAGAAGAAAGAGGAAGGGGGAGAGTAGACAGCCTTGTCTAACTCCGGTCCTTACTCGCAATTCATCTGTCAGCTGTCCTCCATTCACGACTTTGAAGTGTAGTCCATCGTATGGGTTCCGCATGATATTGACGATCTTCTGAGCTACTTACTCCATAATGTCGAAAACGTTTCCTAGAGGTCCTCCTGTCCACACCATCAAACACTTAATCATTATCAATGAAGTTGAAGTATAGTGACGAGTTCCGCTCAACTTTTTATTCAACAATCATCAGTAGCGTCGAGATTTAGCCTGTGCACGACCGACCGTTACGAAATTCAGCTTGTTCATCTCGAAGTTGGACGTCTACTGAGTCTTTCATCCGAGTCAGCAACGCTCTGTCGAAAACGTTTCCTGGCACTGACAGTAATGTGATGGCTCTACAGTTCTCACACATGTTAATCAGTAATAGTTTATATATTCAAACTTCAATATCATAGTTATTGCCAGTGCATAGATTACAGACAAAAAATAAATAAAATACTAGTCAAAGAAACTGTATACCGAAATCATCTTGTTCATTATTATCCAGATAGTTCAATCCTATAACCCCGAATTATGTTTATTTCATATAGAAATTTGAATATTTATCATCAGCTTGGCTAAACATCATCTCATCTATCTTCAAAGAGTTGTAACACTTAACTCATAAACCAACTATCATTTCCATCTCAATAATCAAATACTTTGTTATGCTTCATTGTTGTATGAATAATAGTTGAGATGATGGAAAAGATTTGTAATTCAGGTGGATGATTTTGATGGAATTTTGTTCTTTGAGCTAGATGGCTCTGTCCTGAAGCTTTCATTGTTCTCCCATAGGAAGATTTAATCAAAATGAAGAAGTAAATAATGTCAAGTAAAAGGTCAACAACAACAACAACAACCAAATAAAATTGAGGTCTACAGGATAAACTAGGAGTCATAAGTAGAGAATATTCGAATACTTCACTTCTCCCTGAAGCTTGTGCTGATGATCTGTTGTTCCGAAGAACAAGGAAAGCTCCACGATCAAATCATCTAGCTCACAGAATAAAACCCCATCATATTATTGCACAGTAATGAACAAATCTATTCAAACTATAATTGTTATATTAAATAATGTAGAAGATGTAATTGTTTTCCATAATGATAATTCTATCTAATATCATAACTGGTAATAATTATATGCACTATAGAGACTAGTTACCATTTACATAACTGTACATTCTAACTGTATACTATTCACGTAAACAGGTAAACAAATTTACCAACTACCTACTTTTAGTATCCATGTCTAATAATTCATTTCCTTTTTATTTTATGGTGATTTATCTATTTTAAAAACAAAGATGTCATTCAGGTGAAGCTAGAATTTATGAACAACCTTTGAGTAACGCTGAAGTAACCTTGAAAGTGTCCACCTAGTAACTAAGACCAAATGAGGGTTATAAACCAGTGTAAGGAATTACAATTATGACTTACAGTTGATGGTTAACGTTAGGAATTATATATGGGGTTTTTATTACGAACTGACATCAGTTGTAATACCAAGAATTTATTTAGCCAAATAAGTGAATGAATTTCGCGCCAAAATCCGACATCTGTTATCTTATACCTGATTGGTTCGTCCATAAATTATAGTCTTGCCGAGAGATTTGTAAAAATTGTTTAATTACATACAAATTTGTATCATTGACCGATACAAACTAACTTTATGATGAATAAGTGTTGAACGACTTCATTGTCTTATTCACATTGATCGACCATTGTATAGTGAACAATGTCATGTTCTTCTAGTAATTTACTAATGATTAGATTCTATCAATTAAGTTATAGTGTGGTCAATAGTCTAAATAACTTAACATTAGGTGTAGTTTATTGAAATATTAGTTCGTCGAAAGTATTGGACTGGGAACGTTCTAGTCAGCGCTCATCAGTAAGGCATATCCGAAGGAACTATTGCTCCCCCCCCCCGTTTATTCAAGCCATCATTACTGATTTCCATAATATGAAACGTTACCACTGATGTATTTGGGGAGTGGCAGACTTCCTATAGAAATGAGATATTTACATTGACCAAGTAGTCAGTAGTGATCAAAGTGACACTTGTTCACTTCTACTGTTATGTCATACTTTCTAGCAAATCAGCATTGACGATTCATGATTACATCGGGAACTGATCTTGGAGCTTTTATATTCCATGACAAGACTGTTGCTCATTGGCTATTAAGCTGGAACTAAAAACAGATTACAGCTTCAACTACTGTCATTTTTGTAATTTAGAGTGACGGTATCGATTACTTTCTTTTGTGCTGAAATCCTATCAAGAAGATATATCTAATAAAGTTACAAAAACGTCAGTACAGTAGAGTTCAACAGGATCTGTTATGAGATAGTAACTCACTGAAGACAATGGTGGACGGTCGCGCAATTTCGTGGATTGACTGAAGTTAGACATTAATATTGTTGGATGCCGGAAAATAAAATTGAAAGAGTATTTGACAGTGGTTGATCAATGAGTAATTACCTGTTTCTACTCGACATGGATTGGACTGCTGAGGAGTCCCATATTAGGACGAAACAGCCATCCAGTGATTCCAGGTTTTCCATGGTGGTCCAGCTTCGATTGACTCACGAATTAAACTATTAAATTTTTATAATATCCACAAAACCCATTTCTGACATAAATAGGTCTCAAATACAACACGGAGCACATCACACTTGATGGAAAAACTCTGGAAGAGTCGAATAATGCTCCTCCATGCTTGGTAACAGGCGTAAGTAAGTAATCAAGTAAGTACATAAATAATTACTTTGTATATCATACAAGCGGTTAATCAAACTAACACTATTTATTATTGTCTAATGTTTATGATGAATATTCCTTCTCATTGTGTTTACTTCCGATGAAATATTTGTATCTATCCTCCCTTTCTTCATACGTCATATCCTTATATATTTCTTTGTTTCTTTGCGATTTACTTTATTTCTGTTACTTACTTACTTACTCCTGTTACTCCCAATGCAGCATAGGCCGCCGACTAGCATTCTACAACCCAATCTGTCCTGGGCCTTCCTTTCCAGTTCCATCCATTTCTTGTTCATTTTTCTCATGTCTATCTCCATTTCTCGACGTAATATGTTCTTTGGTCTTCCTCTTTTCCTTTGACCTTGAGGATTCCATGTGAGGGCTTGTCTTGTGACGCAGTTTGGTGCTTTCCTCAATGTGTGTCCTATCAACTTCCAGCGCTTTTTTTCTTCTGTTAGATGATTGATTTACTCATCAAAACATTAATGGTTAATTAATCGGCTTATTTTTTTTTTAATATTTTAGAGAAAGGTTACCAAATTGAATTAAGGATAGAAGTATCATAATAGTTTAGGAGTCTTCAGCTGAATTTTTCTGTTTATTTCAAAGTGAATATATTTACAATTAGTCAACTGAATGTTTTCATCATATTAATCGATAGATATTTATATTCCATTCACTTAAAAATTGTTTAACAGTAATAATTCTGTATTTTGCCCCCTCCCTTTAAATGCTCCAGTACGGCCGAGAGTAGGAAGAGTTCGTCCTCTCTCTCGAAATGCCCTCACTCACATGGCCACGTGCATAGAACCATTGCTAGAGAATTCTTACTCATTGCTGTCGTTTACAAAATTGAGAGGACGAAAAGAGAGCATCTGACGCTTTAACTGGGTTGGTGGACACGGAAGGTCGACCTAGGAGAGTAGGAAAACCCCGATTCCAAACCAATGGTGCAGATGGGCTCCAGGATCCTGAAAGAACAAATGGCATATCAATCGACTATTGGTTACGGGTTACCATTGGACTACATTTCCTGACGTTGCCTCACATTTTAGA